ACAAAGGCAGAGGGCACAAAGATCCAACTACAACAGTTATAAGACTTTTCTGTCTAATACATTATATCGCTAGCTCAATATGCTCAAGAAGAAAGTCGTTCATCCCAGCATGAAGAAGTCCAGCAAGGAAAGCGGCGACCATGTAGCGTGCAACTATACCGTGATACGATTCATCGATGAATGAGAAGCCCTGAAAGGAGAGAATCTGCTCGGCGATCCGGAGTAAGCGTCTGTGTCCAGAACGAAAGTTCCATGTTCTCACCGGCGACAATCTAAACAAGACTTCGCGCTGCGGCAGAGGCTTTCCGTGAGCTTGCATTGCTGATTGATTGCTCCATCTCATATCCCATATCACTTTCACTCTGACGTTCCAGACGCGCCGTGCTATTGCTGTCCAATTGACTCTGTGCGTCAGCAGAAACGACGTGTCGCCCCTGGCGTGCTTCATTCCTTGCTACTTTCGAGTCATTGTGCATAGTAATCACAAGTTTTAGCCTCGCGACGCAGACAATTGCCAAGGAAGCCGTGGACTGACAAAAGCACTGAATCTGTTGCAACCCAGGTGCGACCTTGGTAGGCACAATGGCGGCTGCGACCCCTAACCCAACCACAATAAAAAGTAGAGGAAGGGTAAAATAGATATGCTTTGGATATCTTTGGCCGGACCTAGTGTGGCTGGAAGCCACCACAAGAGTTATAGTGGCGTGGGCTGACATGAACAGCCAAAGCCATTGTCGTTCCGCCGCCACGTAACTCCGTAATCCAGGAACAAAGAGAGCAACAGCCACAAGCAAATACAGACTGGCCATCTGAAGAGATCTGCAGAAACCCCCAAGGGGGTTGATTTGGATGGATAAATGACACTGAATGGCATAAGTATAAGGGACTTCTTTGATACCAGGAAACTCACCAGCTCTGCACTACTACAAAGGCTACGGCTCGAACGCCAAGCGTTAAACAGCGCGAAGGTAAGGAGCTGATTATCAGGTCTCTGACGCGCGATAAAAAATGATACCATAAACCCAAGAAATGTAATGAAGTAGACAAAAAGTTTGCCGTTTAGAAAAGAGGTGCCATTCTTGAAAGCAGCGAGGCTGTTGCCCTCATGGCTGTGCTTGATGGCTAAGCCAAGGATGAGGTAAAGCGCGCCGAATAGGGATGAAACGAGCTCCAGGCTATATTCTAACACCTCAATCCGCTGCATGGTGAATGTCGGTGTAGGTTGACTCTTGCGTGCACGTTGTTGAGGGACTGCTGGTTCATATGTAGTTCGCGATGGAATGACATGTTTTATGAGATTATGTTTCACTCATTCCTCGCTCTTGATAACAGCTTGAGAGGAAAGCCAAAAATGTACGGATCGAAGGTGATTATCGCCATATCCTTGCCCCGCCCAGCTCGCGTCGATGGCACAGAGTATGGAAGGTGGCCACGCCGCTTTCTTACAGCCTCCGAGGAGGAAGGGAGTAGGGATCGAAAGACCCATAAAACTCAGGGAGTTTCTTGAAAATCCCTGAGTTTTATGGGTCTAAGTTGATGTTGATCGTCACCATCGCTAATCCCTGGTCAGCTCGGGTCGATGGCATGGGTCATGGGCGGCCGCCTCCGGCGGCCTGATACCATGCAGGAGCGCACATGACTCTAATAGCTGGAGTGTACGTAATCAACTACAGAATGGTCATGGGATTTGAAAGATGACCTTGATGCGCCTTTTTTTTCTCAATCTTTCACTGCTCGCGGAAGAATGGCATCGAATGACTTGACCGAGAGCACAAAGATCTTCTATTTGGAAGTCGATGGGCACTTTATATGCTGCAAAACAACCAGCAGGCGAGTGGAGAAGATTTTCGGCCGCTGTCGGGCTTCTTATGGGCTCTGCCACGCTGTAGTCACCCTCGAGCCGTTAACAGTGCGCCGCAAAATTGCAAAGCACCTGGACGAGATGCTCGGCGATTCTGGGATGTGGATGTGGGATGCTTTGTATGTTATCTTCCTTCATACTTGAACCAATGTCTAACACGAAAATAGGCCAAATTGTCTAGAATTGGATATTTCAGGTCAGAGTTGTCTAGAGAGGAGGGATGCCATCATGGAAAAACTGGATTCCGAATCGTCGACCCCAGTATTGAGAGCGAGGCTTGAGAATACAATAACCCATAAGGGCATAAAGGGACGGGCTCTCGAACTACAAGGCATTTTACAGCATCTCAACAACGACAATCAAATCGGTACTTGTGACAGGCCTGAGCATGGCGACAGCGATATCAATCCCGACAGTTCTGACTATGATGACACCGAGCGCGGCGGCTCTACCGGTGGCCACAGTGCCGACTATGGTAACACAGAAGACCCGAGAAACAAGTTACGAATCAAATTGCGAAAAGACACATTGTTCGAACTGCATGGCGAAAAGTTCGAAACGCACATCCGCAAAGGTGTTGCCCAACTCCAAAATCCTGAAATTAAACGATCGAAGCCGGTTTCCTCGCGCATCATCGAGTATCGGCAAAACGAAAACCAAAGCCTAGACGAGATATTCGGTCGAGTCGCTGCTGAAACCACGAGTAGCGACAAAAAGATGCAGTGGACGTTCGCAACAAGCTCTGCCCTAGCACGCGCGCTTGCGCGCAAAGTTAACCGCAAATATGCACAAAGCGGAATAAGGGGGAGCACAACGGAACAGGAGTTAATGCGCCACGAAAAGTTGCCGCATATAGTTTACTACGCTATAGATGCGCTGGTTCTTCAGAAGGGTGTGGATGCCCTACTCCTCTACGCAGCATTACAAGGTAGAGAGCACGCAATTCCGCTGTTTTATTGTCAGCTAACTCGAGCAGAACGGCACTGCCGTTTCTCCGCTGCAAAGAAGAATATACCGTTTGATAATTTGTTTGAGTTTGGCGTCGATGTTGCAAAACGTCTTCAGGATCTCGAGTTGACGGAAATAGACGAGGATACTCTGGTGTACATTCCCCTCGCTGTGGTGGCCTGGGCTTTTAGATTGAGGTACGGTTTCATCTCCGGTCAAGTCTCTCTGCTAACGGTGAACTAGTTTTTCTGATGCATGCGACCGTCTTGGGCTCACGAATCTCCGAAACTTAGGATTAACCTTCACGCGGTTCGATGACGCCGAGAAAGAATACAATGTTGAAAAAGAAAGTTGGCATCAGAAGTCGGACGAGCAGCAACACGCCGCGGAGAGACGGCTCGATCGGAGTTTTTATATTCCGTTGAAGGACTTGCGGCGCATGGCGAGCCCGCTAGTCCATAATGAGTCGAACGATTCCTCTCAACATTCCGAGTCTGCGAGCGCCGCGCCCACTACTCCCGAGCAAGTCCCCTTCAGCTGCCCTCGATTCGACCCTGTCCGTGATACCGCATCGCCGTGTCATAGTGAGGGTGCGGCTAGCGGGCAGCGCACAACGGCCGGCCCTTTACCGCGACAATCTCATGCCGATCTCCAGTTATCGCCAGTGGCCTTTGACCAATTCGCGCTAGAGGACCCAACTGCACAGACGGAATTGTTTGCAGACCGATTGAGCCCACGTGGGGCTAGTTACCAGGCATACCCGAGTTCGCAGGCTCCCAGTCAACCTCAGCCCGCTGGAGTCGTACAGAATCTATCGCGTGAGGCCACCTCACTGTCATTAGCAGACCCAGCTCCTAGTGCGTCCGTCCAGAGGATTATCATGCCGGATGCATCGGCACACGATCAAATGCTCTCATATCGAGCAGTCCGTGATCCGAATGCGCTCGCAAGCGCTGCGTCACAGACCTGTCCGCTCCATTTCGACGGAGACAGTGGCTACGACGGCAGCACAATGTCCTCGCAGTTTTCAATGGCAACGGCAGCCATGCCGTTACCATTCGGAGACAGCGAAACAACCGCTCCATGCAGCCGGTCAGTCTCTCTCTGTGGACCTGAGCGTCCCAACAATGTGCCCGCATGGCCGATCGGAGGACTCAGAGCGGCGCTACCAGATGAGGCTCCGCCGCCTGCTACGCCAGCAGCAGGTAGCAATTCGACCACATGGCATCTGCCAGTGCTCGACAGCACGTCTGAAGAAGCTACAGCAGATAATCCGCCCGTTGTAACAAACCGTCGGCCTCATACCGCTGGACAGAAGAGGCCTGCTGAATCTGAGGGCAGTGACCATAGGCTCTCACGCAAAAGGCACAACCCCCCCACTATGGACGCGGAGCACGAGCACAACACAGACCTGCATTCTCCCGTTCCTGAATCTACACATCTTAATAATTCAATTTGGGAACTTGGGGCTAGCGGCGAACATCAAGCTGATCGAACGCTTACAATCGAGGACACCCCGGGCCTAGGCGTGCTCGCCAATGCTTCCTCCCGCACAGCCGGTAACGACACCAGGGACCATGGCGAAAACATAGCATCCAAAGATTTCTCTGCCCTGGTTTCGGTCGACTCTTTTGCTACAGCTCCAAACGCACCTGTCGACGTGGATCACACCCACAGTATCGGAGCACCGAATTCGACCGCGGGCGAACCAAACGGATCTTTCCGTCACAATGGACAAAGAAGCTCTCTGGATTTTCATCTTACCGGCTCTCATTCAACGAAAGGCGTTCACTTTGCCAATACTCAAGGCTCGCCGCCTCCGGGGAAAGATGGGACTGCCGCTTCGGGTGCGGGCGGGGCTTCCCGCGGCAGTGATATGCGAAGCGGGGAAACAGATCAACCGGTTATAAGCCAGCCACTGCACGGCCTTGATGCGCTTGCAGACGCTGCGTCACTGAGGCATACGGTCCATCGCCAAGCGAACAGTGGTAATGGGGCTAGCGTTATGTTCTCACAAGCTACACTATCCATGCCACGGCCTCTTCATGGGCAGCCACCGAGAACCCTTACTCCCCCCTGCGTGGGAGACGCCCGAGCAACACGCAGCCCGGGAAGCATGGACAATGGCACCTGTGACTTAGCGTCACCAGGAGCCTCTAGTGGCCAATCCCCATCGCCTCATGTAGGCGACATGAGTTTTGCCCTCGGACAAAAGAGATGTGTTGGTTCCTTAGAGAACGCAGAAGTTCGTTCAGCCAGAAGGCATAATCCCGCCCCTGACGGCAAAGTGCTCAACCATATCATCAACTCGCCGACGCTCAACCTTGGGGCCCCGCAGTCTTCTGACATGCATTTGGCCTTGGGGGTCTCCTTGCAAGAAGCAGACGCAGACGCAGACCAACCCGACTATACGCTCTGCCCCGCCGATCTCGACTTGGAAACACAGAACATGCAGTCTTACGACATGGTTTGGGGCCCTTTGGGCTCGGCAGGCAGCAGTGATCAACAAGCAGAGCCAGATCTATTCGATTTTGGGCTCTGCCCCGCCGATCTCGACTTGGAAACACAGAACATGCAGTCTTACGACATGGCTTGGGGCTCCGGGGGCTAAGTGGGCGACGGTAGCTAGCAAGCAGAGCTAGACGTATCCGAATATCAGCCTAACCTCATAGCATCAGGCACGGGCGAAAACACACAGTCGTACTGCATACCATGAGCCCTATGAACACTTTGGACGACCGCCGGCAAAAAAAGGACGCAGCACAAGACGCCGTGAGATCTTGCGACTGCTCTTTACAAACTTCTTTTTATACGAACAACAATTTTAGACACAAACTGAATACTAATTGATCTATACATCTTAACTAACTCTTAACATCGGAATGCGTAAAGGTCGCTGTGACGAATTGAATGCTTGTGGGGAAGCGCCGTGCCTCTGCACCTGTAGGCATTCCAATCCTCGTGCCCGCATCTACGAGAACAAGTAAACTCGTTTTACACTGCCGGTACGAGATCTCGTTCTCAATAGTCAATGCAAACTCCTTGTTTGACGACGTGTCACCCCGATATATAAGGAAGGTCCGACCTTCCGACGGCGCGACAAACTGATGGCCTGTCTTTAATGTGATCAGGCTGAGGTCGGCGCGGAGCGTCCGGCCGGGTCGTCTCGGCAAGTCAGTCTAGCTAATCAGTCAGAGCTCTTATTAATGTTCTGTCGGCAGCACTCACAAAGATCTTCTGTTCATATTTTTCACTAACTGCTTCCACCAGCTTTCGATCTGCGCTTGCGCTCGGTGTTGTTTGGCTGCTACTGCCATCCTCGGGAACAGAAATTCCTATGTTGAGGCCAGGAGTATCATCTGGCAGCGGGATAATTTTGAAATTCGACATTGTAACTGGCTTTAGAGCCGCTATCTCTATCGTCGATGGGAGTGCGGGATGGGTGATTTTATGGTCGCAGGTGGGGAGAAGTGACGGAGTAGTAGCCTGATGACCATGCTGCGGACCCCAGCTTACGTCACTGCGATTGGCTAGTGCCAGGACCCACCCTCCTCTGCTTTATGCATGAGGCGGACTATACAAATCACATGTTTGTGATGCTGCTTACTCGAACGCTGTCAAATCTACAACACATCTGCTTGTCTGGCAGCATTACGGCCACAAATCAAAAGCTTCTCTATGATGACAGGAAAATGAGAGTGTTTGGTCCCGTATTACAGCTAGCTACCTATTTTCAATTTTGCAACTCAGCCCTACATAGGCTGCCGTTGCTGAAGACCCACCCATCAAGCAGCAGCAAGACAGGCGCCTAAGGCATTTGATGGTTATACTGTTGCATCCACGCATGGCGCCATGTACCGGCACTACTCAACTGGTCCATATGGTATAATCCATGATTGACGATTCTGGGTCGGTAATCCTTGGGTTAAGGGTTCTGTTTCCTCACTCGTCGCTCTTGTCGTAGTACTCCCTGTAGTTCCATTTGCCTCGTCATCAGCTGACGGGCTGCTGAGGGAAGTTTCATTTGAGATATGCCTGTTGTGTGCGGGCAGTATAGCAGACACTTTCTCAGCATTTCTGATATGTGCATGCATGGTGGGCTGTGCACAGGCTGTGACATGCTCTGACGGCTGTGGTAAGAGGGGCAGTGAAGCATGCTTTGAGTGCGATGCATGTTTGGCGACATCATTTTGTGCACCGTCGGGCTCTTTTTTGATCTTTGGAGCATCTGTTGTTGTTAGCTAAGTAGTATTCGCAAAGGCAGAGGGCAACTTACTTGGTGGTTCTTCGCTGGCGCTTCCTCCAGGCGAAGTGGCTCGTTTGGCGTCGTCGTAGACTTGTTCGCCTACGGCGGAACGCGTTGTACCACCCGCACTAGTGCCCCATAGTTAGCATAGAGCTGCGGGATCGGTCGTTGATTGAAAAGGCTTACATTTTCGTCCCTATAGAGTTGTTGTCTTCTTGGGTCTGCGTAACGCAGGCGGTTGCATTTAGTGCAGCGTCAGAGATTGGGAGCCTATCAATGTGTAAACAAACAGAACAGTCAATGTTGAACTAGAGAAGAGACGCCTCTGCTTACCTCTTCTGAGGTTGTATCATTTTCCAGAAGGTAGCCGCGCAGTGCTTGAGGTTGAATATTGTTGGCCACGCAAAGAAACGGAAGGGTAATACATGAACGTGGATGGGAAGCACCCTTTAAGTATACGAGCCTTCTGTAGATGGCGAAGGGGAGAACTTACTCGGCCATGATGCAGCGTACGTTACACTTGATTAAGAAACGATTATCGTTTCTCACATTCGGCCCTGGTTGGCTGTCATGGATAGACATGCATAGAAAAGCTGAATGCAATACAGTCTAGCCAGACGCTGCTGCAAGCCGAGCTCGCAGGAGCCTGTGTGTGACCCGCGTGAGCCGAACGCCACGATATACTCGTCTGGGTGGACTGCTTGCGGTGGAGGCACAGTTGTCTAGAGCGAGGCTTTTCCAGAGTAGAGCCCTTGTTCACCGGCCGGCCAGTTGATGTCATTTATGTCGTGGTATAATGAATGCTCGTCCCACGCACGACAAAGACCGATCCTTGCAGTATAGTATGGGTGCTGGTTGAGTGGCTGGATCTAGAGAGATAGTTGACGACGAGTAGGTGAGGTCACCGGGGATGCTATCCGAGATTGTCGTTTACGAACGTGAAATAGGAGTATGATCCATTCACAGTAGCGGAGCAGAGGTTGCGTTGGCCACAGACCTGTGGCACCCTTCTGACCACAGGCTTGTGGCACCCCTACGACCACAGGCTTGTGGTACCCCTACGACTAGGCACACCACAGACACATGTCTCAGCACCTCGGCCAAGCACTCGTTTCGCGCACTGCTACTAAGCAAACAAGTTTTTCCGGGCAATGGAATCATTAGAAGGCGAGCTACAGGAGTGCGCTTGAAAAAAAAAAAAAAAAAAAAAAAAAACAGTTAACATATACCAGTGTATTGACGAACAAGAAGACTCCGTGTAGAAACGATATATTATCCAGCTCACATTGTCATTCTAGGTAATCTTTCCCAACCTCAGACCTGTCTAACAGCCTGCAAATTGTTTGTAAATGAGCAAAAATACGCTACTCCTAAAGGAGAAAGGCGTGTATCCAGCTAAATGCACATAAATGCCGGCCTATGAGACTGTTAGAACCTTCAGGATCGGATACAACAAGCTGAAAGAGTCGCAGTTCGGGTAGGATATGCTCACTGCGCGAGTTCATCCTGGCGGTGGCTTTCCACAGGTAGGACAGTTTGTTCCTGAGATACCCTTCCCGTGGCAAGTCTCACAGGTGGCCATATTGCGAGTTGTTTCCGAAAGACGCGATGCTGCAGATACCTAATGCAGTCAGATAGGACAAAGCAAGCGACTTAGATGTAGAGTATTCAGGTCGTATACTTTCTGGTGCGATGCCTGACTTTGTAACGCATCACGGGTACTTGGACGGAGCGGACTAATATTAAGCCGTTATGGAGTGGATGTCAGGGCGGAGTTCTTTCAGCTTCAATCATCATCAGAACTTACTACGATGTCGAATGAGGCATATGGCTGCGCTTGTTCCGCCTATTTCCATTCTGTTCGAGCGCTTGAGGACCATCTAACGGATGCTCGGGTAAGTATATTCTTAGGCACAATACTGAACTAATCTTTTTAGGTTCTCGAACGTTTCCACCATGCACAATACATAAAAAGTCGAATGCACGAACGTATTGGCGATAAAAACAGCGATTGCGACAGCCCGATCGACGAGAGTGATGAAGCAGCCAATAATCTGGACGAGCACCGTTGTCCCCATCCAAAATGCGAGGCAGGAATATTTGCAACAAGGGCTAAACTTCGCCGGCATTACCAGCTGCGTAAGGGTTGCCCATCACCATACGATTTCTGCTGCTAAGTCTCTGGCTTAGATTTGGAATGTGAGGAGGTCTGTGTATGTTGTTTCACAACTTTCAGATTGGCAAGTCAATTTATACGGCATGCCGAACAACATAAAGATGTTAGCGGTAGAAAGATGGATTACATTAGGGCTACGTGTATTGATTTGAAGGACCGCACCGATGACAAGTTATGTCAGGCAGAGAGAAAAAGAAAGAGGACGAGGGCAGAGACAGCCCTAGATTCTGACCTGCAGTCAAGTCGACGGCCAAGATACGGTGAAACTTCCATGGGAAACAACGCTGAAAGTATACCGGGCGAGGGTATAGTACAGAACGAGCACTTTAACCTCATTGGTTTGGATAGTCGAAGCTTGCGCCCGATTCTGTCACATCCGAGTACAGTTTTGACATCTCTCGCCACTGCCGGTGAAGCTGGAAAGACAATTGATTTTGCCAGCGTGTCAACAAACGCGCAGTTTGCTGATTTCGGCGGAGAAGTTAATCTTCCTCATCACGGGTTTCAGGATTTCTTAGCTCCTATATTCGGAATTGTCAACTCTCCTGTTCCAGATTGGTCGTTCGGAGGTGGAGAGCCAAGCTTACTCTGATCAAGACTCAAACTGACCTCTCTGCTCCCTGCCAAATGAGAAGTTCACCCCAATGTCTGTGCTTTCCATATCTGTGACTCGCGTTTTTAATGCATCGAGATTCGGTAATAACATCTTCGGCCACTTTGCTACCAAATCGTCTGTAGCAAAAATGAAAGTGATTGCGTAGCCTTCGACTATCCTGACCCAGAGGCGCGCGTCGCGAATGACTCTTGAGTTGTATTAGAATGAGAAGTAGAAGAATTTGACAACACTCACATCCCACCGTCTTTGAACTCTGTGTCCTGTGCTGCTAGGCCAGCTTGCTTCAGATCCAACTCTTCCACAGCATAAGTAGATCTTTCGCCGGCCTTTGTCGGCAAATTGTGCAGGTGAGAGCCAGGGTAATGCCTCAGTTGTGATCCCTTCGGTAGTAGATGTATAACCAAAGCACGACGCCCGGCAGCCGTCCCCCCTCTCATGAAACATTCTGTCGCTGGGTCGGCTTTCCATCGCAGCCAATGACCTAGGATGCATCTTCTGCCTTCGAAGTAGATATTCAAGACATGTCGTATACGCTAAAACTCATTAGCTATACTCCGATGTCCGCTCGCGTTACGCACTGGATTCATGACAATATGCTCCCTGCAAAAGTCAAGGCCGTATTCCGTTGAGTATGGGAAGCCTCTCTGTTCGTAGTCATCAACGCATTTGCCTATGGTAGAGTTGTTTAAGTTAAGAAAACCATCCTCGTATAAAGTTTTTGCCGTCTCCATCGTATGAGGGCTCAGCAAGGTTAGCAGGAGGAAGTATCAGGTTTCCCTGGGGATTCTCAAGTTCTGCAAGACAAGGAATTGGGCTCTTCAGGCACCACCTCATGAATGCTACATGCGTTAGTCATACGATCACGTGCTTGTCATCCAGTCTGTCGCAGAAAAAGCCTCAGAAGATCTAACTCGGCAGCATAGTGGGCTGAAAATAAAAAATGGGGTGGCTCCTTTACCTAGCAATATCATAATAACTGGGATATGTGTCAAAGGGGGCCGATTCCGTCACTGCATCAGTTAGTGTTTCCTGGCAGCGACGAGATGGGTCAAGTTGCATAGACGCCGAACAGCACAAAATCGGCTCGCTTTATCATATCCAGGTTGTTTTGTTATCCCAAAAGCTAGTGAAGGACCCAGCTCTGCGTTGAACAGCTGTTGAAGACTTTCTCGCAGAAATTAGGTGTCAAGGCTAAGACGAGAACGCAGAGGTGCAGGCGATAGCCCAGCAAGTACCTGTCTCAGATTATGCAATAGGTGGAGCGTCGGCCAAACTCGACATTTCATGCACCCAATCACATGACATGACTAAGCGCCCATCGCGTGAACTCGCGACGGAGTGCTTGGTAAATAAGGCAACACCTTCAAAAAAGTCTTCGTCATTCCCAAACGCCCGCATGAGTTTGATTAGTTTGATTAGTTTTCTTGCCAATTCTTTTGCCATCCCATGGCTGACAAAAACTCGTTGAAAGGAGCTCGAAAAGCTAACGCGACAAGCCGAGCTACGTGGCGAAGCTTATAGGCAGCGCCATTCCGATGACATGAACGATGCTGGGGCGCATGGGCACGCCGGCGGTGGTCAAGAAGCTGAGGGTGGCGAGAACGCTGGAGCTAGCGAAATTGGCCATATCGGTAGCAACGACCGACCACAGGCGCGAAATGGTGGCCATTCAGTTCCTACGCGACGTGGAACAACGCAGCATGACTTGTGGAAGAGACTTGTGGAAGAGGCGGCCTGATGAGATACCCAACTCGGAGCAAGAGTCGGACAATGCCAGCGCTGACGCGACTCGACCCAACAAAGTCAGTACTCTGCAGAGAGTCAGGTTAGCTGCACGAGCGGCTACAACGGCACTCGCGAACAGAAATTGGAAAGCGATGGGTGGCGATGCGACAACTCAATCTGAAAGGCGCAAGACAGTCCATCCAGTCAACCGGGATGCAAGACGCGATAGCCATGCGCTCGAAACTGCAGTTTAAGTACGGAAGCAGAGCAGAGGACAGAACGAAGGAAGCTCTGCTGCGACAAAATCGTCTAACATGCGAATGATAACTCCAGAGAGGGATGGGTCTATGACAGTTGAGATTAATGGCCATTGGAGTATTAGCTTCATTGATATGCCAGTACTATGCCGAAGGAATGGTGATCCATCTAAAATTTGGGATTTATCGGTTCGCCAGTTACATGGAGACGTCAATTAGACCTCGAAGTGCTAACGCATGTATCGAGGGCAGGATTCAACTTAAATAGCACAAATTTGCCAATAAACAATGAGGGACCTCTGAGAATCTATGTAATATAGCCTTCAGCATGATTAGTCATACTGCGCATACACTCTCGCTGCCAAACATTTCTTCAGAAATGCACTTGCTGATAGCGGTTGTAGCAATATCATAATAACGGGGATATTTATGCAATAGGCGGTGCTTCCGTCAGTTCCATGACATGACTAAGCGGTCATCGCGTGGACTTCTGACAGAATGCTTGGTCACAAAGGCAACATCTTCAATTCAACGAGCGAAGCAATTTTAGCTTGATTGAGGCTCCTTAGTACCACACAATCGAAGACATTGAACTGAGTCGATGGTCATGCATGCCACACAACATCGAGGCAACCCCGCTTAGAACAGTCAGAGTCAGGCGCTTCACTCCGACTACTAGTTCACCGCCGGCTCAGTGATAAAAGTATGTCAGTTTGGTACCTATTATGCCTCGACCGCCGAAGGCACAACCAGACGCTGGCATGTGACTAACAAGTGTTACGTCAACGTCCCGCGCAGCCCTGTCGTACCTATATTGTTCTACTGTCAGCGTTCAAAGAAACCTAGAGTTTGAAGCTAACCGTATTCAAGCGCGGGTAGCACGACAAAGTATATAAGATGAAAGTGTAGCATCAGGAACATTTGGCAGAACGTGAAGGCTGGACTATGTAAGCCGCCAAAAAGAGCCTGAGGCTAGCCAGGGCTGCCCCGCGGGTTTCCATCACAACCCAGGGGTTGTGATTAGTCATGCCCTCATGACGCGACGTACCACTCCAACCACTGCTAGGTACTCTTGGCTGGAGGATCAATTGACAGACCGCTCGGAGCCAACATACAGTTTTTGGCCATCGATAGTCGAGCTGCACTGTAATACGAAATGAGATTCGGGGAGTTGGAAAGTCTGCGGAAGCGCCTGGAGGAGGAGGAACGGCTACGAAAACAAGCCGAGCAACGACGCGACGAAGCCGAGCAACGACGCGACGAAGCCGAGCAACGACGCGACGAAGCCGAGCAACGACGCGACGAAGCCGAGCAACGACGCGACGAAGCCGAGCAACGACGCGACGAAGCCGAGCAACGACGCGACGAAGCCGAGCAACGACGCGACGAAGCCGAGCAACGACGCGACGAAGCCGAGCAACGACGCGACGAAGCCGAGCAACGACGCGACGAAGTCGAGCAACAACGCGACGCAGCTAAACACCAACTGAGGCTTCAAACCCAGCAGACCCAGAACACAACGCTGTTAGAGTTCCTTAATGCGTGCCACCAACATCTATTTCTTGGTCTAGATGTCCAGGAAGATAAAGAATCTTCAACAAAAGGTGACCCCGCGAACGCCGAACAGAAACTCCGCCCAGATCACATCCGAGAATGGACAAATTTCCCACGGGAGCAAGCTAAGATATGGAAGGCGCTGATGGATGCTGACTTCGTCACCGAGCGCCACTTTACACCTCTGTTGGTGTTGGAGGACAACGGCAAAGACCTACGACAGCGGAGTTTAAGTTCGGAGCTTGACCTAGGATACTTCGAACGGCAAACAGTTGAGATGCGTGTTGCGTCAGTCATTAAACAGCTACACAAGAACACTCCACTTCGCGAAACGTTTCAACTGAAAGGAGACGTTGCATTCGAAAACCATGCGAATACTTTGACGGACGAGAGAATACTTGTGACAGATATGAGCTCTTTGAGTCTGAAGACAGGCCCTCTACGACGATCTGGACGCATTGCTGCGAAATCGGGAGGGACGTCATCCCTCTCTGCAGCAACCCTCCAAGAAAGTCATCAGAAGCCCCGGCAACAAAGGCTCGCGCGTCCCAAGGCGGATCAGTTCTGCGTCTACAACAAAGGGAGCTCCGAGCGGATACCTGCTTTTATCGTGGAATACAAGGCGCCTCACAAGCTTTCTCTGGCGCACATTAAGGCCGGCCTCATGGACATGGACCTTGATGATATAGTCCGACTCCAAGAAAATGAGACCCCCGAGATGATATGCCGGCGTGTCGTTGCAGCGGTCATCACCCAGGCATATTCGTACATGGTCACGGGCGGTATTCCGTTCGGCTACCTTTGTACTGGAGAAGCATTCATATATATTCACGTAAAGCATGAGGAGCCGGAGTGCGCATACTACTATCTCTCGGTCCCAAAGGAAGACGTTGGCGAGTCTACCGGCTGGACAGCCGACCTTGATGGTGACAATCGCCTGCACCTCACTGCTTTGGGCCAAGTCCTGGCGTTTACTCTTCGTGCGCTGCAAACCACCCCACGGGACAGTGGTTGGATTAAGTGGGCGGAAGCGAAATTAAACAGATGGGAGATGGTATACGATGATATCCTCGGCGAAATTGAAGAAAAAGACATACCAGCTTCCGATTTCAAGCCCAGTACTCGAAGCCGAGATAGATACTTGCGCATGTCTCCGGTGAAGACCAGGGCAAGAGCCATGCTAGCCAGCGCGGCTTCTTGTGACCCTTCGCAGCACATCTCACCATCAGATGATGATGAAAATTCGGACGAGGGGTTCGATCCCAACACACCGAGCCGAAGTCCACGAGAGCCACGAGCTGCCAACTCTTCGAGTCGCCGGGCTGCCACGAAAGCTTCGAGAGATACAAGCACAAGAGGCGCAGTCCGGGAGTACTGCACACAGAATTGTTTGCAGGGCTTGAAAACGCAAGCTCCACTCGATCCGACTTGTCCAAATGTATCAGTTCATGGTGTCAATCGGCATCGATTGAGCCTAGCCGCGCTCATTCGTCGATTGTCCAAGCAATTCTCCCCGCAGGATTTGCATCCAGACACGCAGCTAGGGTGCAAATCACTCCACACAAACGGAACCCGCGGTGCTTTATTCAAAGTGACCTTGCTCTCCCACGGATACACTTTTGTTGGTAAAGGCGTGCCGGCAGAATTTGTTGGCTATTCGAAACATGAAGAGTCTGTATACGCTCATCTTGCCGAGATCCAGGGTCTGCACGTGCCCGTGGTGTTAGGGGGGCTGGATGTCCCTTCTTTATATTATGATGGCATCGTGCAAATTGTGCGTATTATGCTTATGAGTTATGCCGGGGCTCCAATCGCGAGAGCCATTACGCAATGGCCTGAACATCGTGATCGCATGATCCGCAAGGCTGAGATCTCCTTGCGAGCTGTGCAGAGGTGTGGGGTACTGCACTCGGACCTAATACCTGATAACATCTTGCGAAATAGCAGAAATGATCAGGTCATGCTGATTGATTTCGAAAGAGCAGCTATCCCAGAACAACGAACGCCGCTGATGCCGGTGCCGTCGAATCGGAAGCGCAAGCGAGTTGACCAATCCGCTAAGAGCCAACGGGAATCGGTTGCTTTTGATCGCGAATTTCGGAGGCTGCGGAATCACCTGTTTTAATGGGCCAATATGCTTATGCTGAATGAATAAACGGAGCAGTGTTGTTTCTTACGCAAGGATGGGCCAATATGCTTATGCCGAATGAATAAACGGATCAGTATTGTTTATTACGCAAGTTCTCGGCCATTACCTTATACCTCTTGCAGTTCCTATCGCTTTTTTTAAGTCGCTATTTTTGAGTATCGCATTTAAAGCGTGACGCGAATCATGACATAGTCCAAGCATTTATTTCATAGTATAATCAAACCAAATATGCCTTGAAAGTATTAAATTTCTTTCTGCTCCTATTGATTTGATTTTGATTTGATTTGATTATTTACGTTTCTGCTCCTATCGCCCATCGCATGTCCAGGATTGCAGGGTAGGTGCGTGAAGCAACAAACTCCCCATCTCAACTTTGCGAGCAGCACGTACTCCTACAAAGTATAATCAGTCATGGTCAAGGCAAACAGTGCCCATATGATAGATGCGGTGACAATTGCGGTAATCGACGTCAGCCCTGATGCTACATGTTGCGGACTATTAATTTTCCTATTAGAGTAGTAAAATATAGCATAACAACACTGTCAGCTTCATACGTTCTATCTTCGTCACGGCCTGGAAAGGCCTCCATGAGCTGAGTGCTGCAGACAAGAAATGAACAACAATAAACAGTTTTCTGCAAGGATGCCTGGCTCGTTCAGCTGAAGCGGGTCGCGCGACACACCAGGGCGGAGCTCACCCAGGTCGCGCGTCGTCGCGCGATTGGCCAGACGGGCGAAGGATTTCCGCACGGTCATGCTATTGCCACCTAAATATATGCGATTATCTAAACTTTCTAAGGCGGGAAGGAAAGAAAAGGGGGATACGCTTAACTATAATAGCACGAAGCAGGGTGTGCTAGATGTACCAAGAAGTTCTGTGTCTGTACAATCTGTGCAGTAGGCCTGTTCACGCTGGGGAAGAACCCCATGCGATATAGAAAGTGCTATTAGGGCAAAGATGGGATTTCTGGAGCCGGATGGGTACGCTGCGAAATAGTAGTCAATTATTATTTAGGTACAAACCATGTGCTATTTACTACCATTTACTCTCGGCCATGCTCGTAGATCAATCCTAGCTTTCGTGCCTCCTTGTGCTATATATCAGCCGAATAAATCGACAACCAAGTCTTTTGCTTCTTAAACAGCGCCATCGCCACTTATTACCCTCTCGTACTTTGGCCATGAGCGCTGAAATGCGTTCTCCGTTGTCAGCAGATGGCATTGTGGCTACGTCTCCAACATCTGGTGAAAGATGAGCTTTTCCGATCAGCTACACCCCTAAAATCTTGAGGTGTCGTAGCTAGCATAGGTAACACAATATCCCATCGAGGCATTACACAAATTTTCACAAAAGAAAAAAAAACCAACATACATCGCAGTGTAATTAATATCTATGCCTAGAAATACCTATTTGCTCATTTGTTTTGCTCCGCGCGTAGTTTCCTGCAATACAGGGTAGGTGCATCGATCAACCAGTTGCCCTCATCTCAATTTTGCTAACAGTACGTACTCGTACACAATATAAACAGCCAGTGTAAAGATAAACAGTGTTCCCACGATAGCTACGGTGGCGATTGCAGTGATCGACCATTGACCGCCTTGCATGAAATAGACATTGAGCAGTGTTGAGCCAAGTCCAGTCGCCGAGTTTATTAACGCTGGACTAACATTGGTGTCAAACACGTCAACTTGAAAGGCAGCACAGGAACTCACGTTACTAAATGACGGTTTATCCACACATAATTGTGACGCCATTTACACCAAAGCCATCCCAGCCCGGAGGTCGCAACGACACAAGCAGCACATGCGAGCCCAATGACCGGTATGTTCCGTGCTGTGGCTGTTGAGAACCTAGTAGCAAGCGCAGCCTTTTCCAGGGCCTCCACATAACGCTCAGAGGTATAGGTGGCTGGCGATAGTAAGAAGCCAGCCAAAAGTAGCCACGCGAAAACACCAGCAAATACGCCGTATTGCAGGCTAATTTCCTGATCCATCTGCACTACCATCGCATAATATCGTGTAGCATAGCGCCTATGGGCTGTACGCACAGCACGAGTCATCTTGACAGTGAAAAGCCGTAGCGAAGTGTTGCGATTGTTAAAGATAATGAAAAAAACAAGGGACAAAAGCAGAAGAAGACAATAGCATAACGTAGCATAACAGAAGTAAATAGAACGCAGAGTTAATTATAAGAATGGCACAAAGCACAAAGCTGCTTACAGATTGCAGCATATTTTTAACCGCTATGTACATACTACCTACGCATGCAAGGTATGTTTCCTGGCACAGGTAAGGTACGTTCTAGGCTCCGGAAGCTGGCAGGGCGGCCCTTGCATGCCTCGAGAGTGCTGATCTGCCTCTAGAATTCTGGAATGCTACTGTTCCAATATATCTTCAATAATAACAATTTTAATCTACTAATCTTTCATCCTTTATTATTCTCCCTCTCCTTTTCCTGCCTTTCCTCGTTTTCCCGCATCCACAAATAGCCAAGCCAACTAGCTAGCCCACTAGCAGAGACCTGGCGAGAATGCTTCGTTAGCGCTCCTACTCTCGCTAGTAGGCCCCCGTTTACTACCTAGACCACAGCGACTAAAAATGGCGAGTAATGGCAACATCCCTAGTAGGTATCCGCTAGATACCTTTCAGGTACTGTACGTGATATAACCGATTATGTAGATACTCGCCCAACCGACGCCGTAAAGCTGGCTACTTGAAACTGAAGAAGGTAGAGCCATCGAAAAGTTATATGTGCCGCATGCAGAAGCGCCTGCTCTATCTATAAGCTGATGTCTGCTTCGAGACACCTGGGGTACGACATAAATTCCTGGCAAAATAATGATAATTGTAATCTACTTAACTGCTCAGCATTCTCACACCATATGTGAGGGACGATCCGCAGGTCCCAATATTTGCTTCAGTTTGTACCTACTTATATCCAGCCCCGAAACCTATTACTAGTGGCGCCTTTCCTTCTAACCCTTGATGACTCTGACTCTAGAGCCGGATTTGGCGACTGCGTGGAGTGCTGTGCTTCGAGCCGGGTCTTTATTTCCGGAATGGATTGCGTGCTCGGACCTGGCCAATGTGAAGCTGCTGACACAAAGCTCAGGGCTCCAAGCTTCAGCTTTTCCTTTATGAAAAAGCGGTCAATTTTCTGCTTTCGTGGGGCTTAGCGCTGGATGACGTTTTAAGTTGTTCGACAACGCAGTGAACACGCTCCGCACAAATAAAAAGTGGCAGCTTAGTGTAATACAATCACAAATCTAGCGCTAATAAAGCTATAGAATTGTCCAAACTCGGGTACTATAATTTGTCTGACAATTAACTGCTCTGAACAGGCTCGCAGGCCGCCCCTGTTGCCACCCACTTATGTTTCCAGCATCCCAGCTTATTGCGAGGGTTTCGCGGGCTACCACAGGACTTTGGGGGGCCAGTGCGACGGCTTAGCAGGGTGCTCTACTGACTTATGTCAACACTATAAAATCTTAATAGTACATATATAGAAAAAACGCAATTCACGGAAAAGGGCAATGTAATAAACATAAAAGAATGCGTGTTCCAATGATAGATATGTAAGATCCAGCGTTACCATAGTAATTCCTCGGTGAACGAGTTCATAGGTACATCGCATCCCTTTCGCCGACCTGATGTCAAGTGTAACACTGTTATTTCGAACCTCATGATCCTTGGCAAGGATCAATAGTTTCGCTGGCTCGAAATTCAAAGGCGCCCGCCATATGTGAACTAAAGCGCTTTCTAAAAACAGCACCGCACGCAGAAGCCGGCTGGCTAAAGTGCGCCACATTTGCTGGTTTCTGAAAACAGACCTTAAACCCTGTTTTTGAACCGAGCTAAGCGCTTAGAGGAAAATACTGCAATGATTGGAGCTTAAAAACGGAAGAGTACTTGCACGAAGCAGTTCAAATGGAAGCAAGGCGGGGAGCACGTCTGACAAATTTGTGTCGTATGCGATACGCAGGTCTTCCCTATACACCTTTCGTATAAAAATGGCAGGCTTGGGTTTTGCTGCCGAATTTGAGCGGTGGGAAGGCGAAGAGAGGATTAACAGCTCTTGGCAAAATAGACTAAGCCAGAAGCAAAGCGTCCTCCCGCATATTACTTACTATACGTTCGCAAATGGAGCTTATGGTGTTTCCATTTATTTTTTAGCTACCTTGCATGATTCAAATGCTCAATATATTTCCCTATAGACGACGTTGATAACTTTCAAATGAAGCTTCTTCTTTCATCAGTCGATGACGATTGGCATGTCCTTAGATCGGGGTATATACCATCCGAGCTGTAGATTGACTCCGTCAGCTTGGAATATGACACTATAACATTGTCTAATGTATCTCGCAGCCTGACCATGTCAATTGTAGCATCATATTCCGGATCCGATGGCTCGTTGGACATGCGATGATTCTTTGACCCAAAAACTTGGCGCAGACCTTGATCAGCAATAAGCTTGTCGAGTTGATATGGGCAGTTGCTGATGTTTTCTTTCCCGCCAGCAATTCCGTCCATCTTGACGTCTAAGATGGTGTGAAAGCCATGCGCTTTCATGCGAATGTGCTTGCAAAATTTCTCACCCTTTCGGCACCTGCGCAATATTTCTGGCGTAACGAGCATTTCTGAAGAAGGCTTCGCTTCGTCGCCTTGATAGTGCACTAGGGTTTTTAAACGATGAAAGTGCTTGACCAAAGTCAAAAGCTGCTGCCCTTCAGGTAACCGACACCTCAAAAGCACATGCACGTACTCTGGCGTTGAATAAAATGTCGGCGCTGACAGAAGCTCCAAATAGAAGAGACAGGCGATCAATCGTCCTGCAGCCGCCTGCATAAAGCCAGCATTACACTTTTCACCAGAGCATCGGATATAAACGTCACTGGACCGCTTAATTCCCTCTCCTTGAAATCTGAGCTGTTAGAAACGTCTTCGGGATAAATTTTGAAGAACTTACTCTACTAAGTGCGGGTCTAAATTGGAGTGTAGTCGGTCACGAATTTGGAGGCAAGCAAGGGCACCATTAGAGCGGAGAGTCTCGTTAACGTCCCATTCTAATCCCGTCCCAAAAGAAACAACAGACGATCTCTTTTGCTCAATGGGTCCGAAGAGGCTTTTTAAGTGATATTTGCAGTCACAGAGTTCCCATTGCTCCACAAATAATGTGAGAGCGAAGAATGAACCTGTGGAAAACATTAGCTGTGTGACCAAAACAGGGAAAAGGGGATTTACCAATGCCTGTCCCGAAAATCAAGTCAAAATGCTGATACAAAGGCAGCGACATGCCGAGGTAATAATGAAGCTCCCGGACAAACTGCCACAAGGTCAACTTGCTCTCGAGAGAGCCCTCAAGGGCCAGAACCCTTACACCCGCAGTAGGTGGTCGGAGAGACGTAGCTTTTCCGTTCGCTATTTCGCACAGAGGGCACTTCTTGATCTCTATCTCGCAGCCACTCGCGCTCAGGACCTGCCCGCAGACAATAACACAAGGGTCGCATAGGCTATGTCCACATGATAAAGGGTTAGAAGGACGTTGCGCGAGACAGACAAGACATGTTTTGTGGCTGAAGCAGCTTCGCCACGCAAATTTGAACTGCGCAAGCAAGTTGACATGTGAGCGCGCTGAAGAGCCGCCCTGTCGCTCCGATGCCAACTCTATATATCGTCGTCGAACTCCCATTATGGAGCGGCCAGGGCTGTTAGACTTGTTCGATTTTGCCACTGTTTCCAAATAAAACTTGTCAAACTCTTGAGAAGGTTGAAACCCTTTAGAAATTGTTAGCAAATTGCACAGGAAACGAAGGGTTTCGCTCACGCACGGTGCATTCTCGGGGGATGGGCATCGAAGTCCAAGGTGGACGCAATGACCTCCTCATGATCGATAGCAAGATTAGAGGTTATATCCATGAAATGGGTTATGTGTGGTTGTAGGTCTTTATAGCTGGGGTTTGCAAGGCGAGCAGCGTGATATAGGTCGAGCTGCCGACCATGGCCAGCGCAGAAGAGGTCAACAGCCGTTTCAAGCAAGTTTTTCAGGTGCTCTCCGCTGAACGCAAAACCAGCTTTTTCGCGAAAACTAAAAGACTCTTCAACATACGTATCCACAAGACGCAGTGACACAGCTGCGACTGGTAAAAGCTCAATACACTTGAAAGCTGTCTCGCATTGCGGCATGGCATCTGAGCCCGTATGAGACGCGGCCCGTGGCGAAACAAATGCTGCTAAGCGCAGCTGCAGTTGCGACAAAAATTCTGGAATACTTGTATCATGGTCTTTATGGACAATGATTAGTCGAGGGGGGGATAAGGCAGGTGAACTAATGGATTTCTTCATCCAGTCTGCAAGCAGTTCAATGATCAGGTCGTTGTCGTCGATGTCGTCCAAAAATAGCAAGACAAGCGGCACGAAAGGAAAAATAACTTGCCAGTAGAAGTCGAAATAAAGGTTGAGCAAAGTTTGGCGCAAATGCGTCGGTGGAATAAGAGCTTGGAGGGTGCGATGCCGCCGGCTACCCGCAGGAGGCAACACATTTACTGTGGCTAGAGTGACATTCTCGTGCAGCTCGCAGTCTATCAAAAATTGAGACTTGGACCGCGCGGAGACACGAACACCTGGTACGCTGGATGAAACCCTGTTCTTGATCACATTATCGCCAAATATCTCTCGTTTGGATCGACCACCGATCGCGGCAATAACCCGAGGATGGAAGCGGAGGAGTTCCAGCGTGGCAAAGACGCTTCGATCTTCGACCAGCGTCGGCTGGCCTCCCAAGCCAGACCTAATTTCAATCCAATTCTCGAATGTCATTTTGAAACATAGTTAATGTGATAAAAATAATCAGAAGAGATTTTTTATGGAAATCCCAGTCTATTATGCGGTCACCTCATGTGAAGAAGCAGCTTTCTGTCTTGTGTTTCTATCCAGGCAGATCTCCTCCACCCACACTTTGGCACTGCACTCCTCACGGAATACCCCAACACCTTTGCGCTTTTTTATTGTCAAGTGATCTTATAAAAACTTTTAAAGAAGTTACGCACTCGTGTTGCAATAGCGACATGAATGTGGAAGAAATATGGATTATAGCAGCGACATTGTGCGCAATGGCAGAGTCCCATTGCATTCCAGCGAGAAAACGCTGCCGCGGGCGGAACGAAAATATCGCATCAGCAAGACTTCTAGGAAAGCAGCGACTGCATACGCTCCAAAGTCTAAGGATGGAGAGCTTTTTAAGCTTATACGAGAGTACATGTCCAAAAAAGATAAGCAGCGTGTGGATGATTGTCGGAATCGTCTGAGTCGCTGCAAGCAGATCAGCCTGGACGGCCTTCTCAAGAGGGTTCAGATTGCAAAAAGTCTGGATCATTTACAAAAGTTTCCTGGTATTCTTCACGGGTTGGAACTCGGAAATGTACACAAACATCTTAGTCTACACTGTGATTCGAACATTATTCACTTCTTCGAGTCTCATATCGAGAACATTTGGTCAGATATCACCGAGAAAGACCCAAGCATCCAGCAACACGTCGACCTCATCACCGTGCAGCGCCTCCAATTTCGAGCGCCAGCAGCTAGCAGCTCTGATAGGCGATCTATAACTCAGATGTTTGACTGCGGAGATGTTTTTGAAGGGATATTGGACGCCGAAGTGCGAGACCGAGTGAAGAAGAACGTTCTTAAGGTCAAAGTTGTGATACCGAGCGTCCAGTCATTTCATGAGAACATGAAATTCTTTTCACTTGGGATCAAGATCATTCGAAAAAACATCGCAGACCCTTCCCCTCGAGGCAACTGGCTTCCGGAGTTCATGAATTGCTGGCGTCTTCCTGCCGTACCATATGTCGAGACAGCACACGGATGCCTCAAGCCGTTGGCGACACCTCAGCTTACTGCGCATCTGGCTTTCACGCAGATTTTTCTTGCTGCTTTACGGAACTTTCCCTGTTTATGCTCAGAACGTCCCCGTCAGGATAAACGAGAAGAGTCCATGCCCGCATACACCCTGGCATCAATGGTGCATTACCTCAGCGAACTTGCTTTCGAGCTCGGCTTCAACAACGAAACTATCACGAAGAATATGACGCAAGACATTGAAGACCATTCATCTATTGACTTTAGGCCAGAGCCTGGTGTATTAGCTGATTGGAGAGGCGGAAAACCATTTACCAAAACGTTTTTTGCACTCAGGTCGCAAGCATTCCTCCCAAAGTTGAGCCAGCCCATTGTTGAAGAGAGCGAGCCGAGCCCCCTATTTATCATGAAAGATTTCATGAAAGCCTTTTTCGGAAACTTTGAATCAGTCGTTCTTGATAAGAATCAGTCTTCGATAACACTGGTAGGAGTGGCAGCATCCAAGCAGACTGAAGACGACATTGCGAGACCAGAAATTTTACGAAGCCAAAAGAAAGGGGTGGGAGGATCTATGAGGCGCACCTACTCACACAGAGTAGAGAAGAAGCTCAGAGCACGTCGAAGAATAGAAGTTGATGCTAATATTTGGCATTCGCTGGCACGTTCCTCAGATAGTCTTCCGACTCACTCTCAATCTTGGAGCGAGAGCTCTACAGATGTTTCGACAGATGAGCAAAACTTTGCGGGGAGGGAAACGCTAGCCCGAAAATTCCATCGATCTCCAATTCCATCTCCGTTTCAATCGCCGGCCGGGCTCTATGATCATTCTTCGGGGCGTCAAGGTCGGGTGCTAGAGATACGAGATTCGAGTTCCGACTCGGTAGCCGGCAGCTTGAATCAAGACACGTCTAATACCACACTCGGACATTACACGCCGCATCAAAATCCTACTAGTTCTTCGATAACAAGCCTCAGCACGTTTGACCAGCGGCGCCTAGGTCAGACAATCGCTAGCGAGTCGAGTACAACAAGTGTACCCAACCTTGCATCGCTCTGGTCCCAGTCCTCGCGTCCCGCTACCGCAAGAATTGGAAAAAGTGAGGGGGAATGCACCATGCCAAACCGGAGCGCAAGGTCCCCGTTAAAACAGGGTTGCATCGAAAGGCGGGACGATGGCCAGCTTGTTGCTTGTATTCCCCCAATTCGTGCAATGCGAACAGCCAGAAAGCCACGCCAGGGCTATAGTCCGTTTACTGTTCCACTGATGCCAGGCTCGCCAGTGGAGCGAGTCAGCCTCGAACGGAGACCTATAACTCGAAGGCCTGGATTCAGGTTGGGTCCTGCGGATCAAACTAGGGCGGCCCAGCTTGTGCCACCCAGCCCGCTCAGACCAGAAGCAAATAGTTCGCGTCACTCAGGCGCTTTCTTCGAACGTCAGGAAGCGAGCCGAGGGGGTGGGCGTGAATCCTTTGCGTCAGCTACCCGGCGCCATGCTGTGTATATTCCCTTTGATGCAGAGCACCGAGCCTGGCTGGAGTCAGAGAAAATGCCGTTTGGGCGTCCCGCACAGAAGTCAAGGTATTCCAAAGCACAATGAACAGTAGCCTAGAGTCAGCGACGTAGAGGGAGGAACAATTGAACAGTCATTGCATTATCTTGTGATCTGACCTGTCATCTTGACAAAATGAATTGAGGGCAAGATTCGGCGTCACACCACCTCAAGTTGAACCCCTGCGCCCTCCCCGACAGGGGCACTGTGCGTGGCGCCGTGGCTTGGTCTCCTCGGACCAACCACAGGCAATTTCAGGTGTTGAACGGTGATCAGCGTTGACCATTAGCGCTCCTTTAAGAGGTCTATGCTTAGTGGCTGGATGGCTCTGCTATGTGCAGGGCATCCGATCGTTGCTGTGCGTTGCTGTATCTCGGACATTTTTCGGATTGCGGTCACTCCGCTGTGCTGATGTTGTGCAGGCCAGTGAAGAAATGCCCACAGCCTCTGCGGCCGTAGAACCTGATATCGTTAGCGTGGTGGCTTGTAGGATCACGAAGCGGGCCGTACTGTCAGCAGCCACTGTTCGATGTATCGGTGTTGGTTTCCGTGCACCAGAAAACAGGTTCGTAGCGCTAGTGAACGGGCGAGTGTAGTCTCTTCTCCGCTTCTGCTTCATTACTGCCCGTGCGCATACCGTCGTCGCGGCCGCTTAGAGCTGGAGACTGGGACCATCTGTGGCGATCCGGTCGGCGCCCCGTTGTGCACGCGAAGCGAAATGCGAGAAAATGCAACTGGTTGGATTTGTCGATTGTTAAGCTACAGCGATGCGGACGGCTTGCGGGGAAGGATTGTAGATGCCCCGGACCAGGTGACGCGTCACGCACATCGCTGTAAGCTGCACTGGCTGCGGCCTAACGATGGTATGTACGAGGTATTCGATTTGTCCGGATCGTACGACTGAGTTTTCATTTCTCCCCTATGCCGCTCATAGCCAGTGAGTCTACAGCCCCGACACGTTCCTGTGCTGCTTCTCGTGAATCGTTCGGAAACCAGTGAGAGGCGTACGCTCATAAAGAGGATGTCTTTGTGACACCGTGTGGGTACAGGAGTGGGTCCAGCGCAAATTGCACCTTTAAGGCTAGTAAACACTCTGCTTGTGGGGCTCGCCTCTAAACTTCCGGGCGGAGACTACTGTTATGCTTTGTCAGTGTATCGACAAACAAGGGCGACTCGGCGGCTGGACTCCTGCCGTCTGGCGCCATCGCTAAGCAAATAGCCCGCGGCAGTCAGCTTAAGCGCTTTGCTTCACCACGCTGACACTGAACAATTGAGGATCTTAACAACCATGACCAGTGAATTAATCGACTCATCGCAGAATATCTGGGCGAAGATGGTTAGAGTTGTTTTCTCTCGGGGTCGAATGCAGTGCAATTGACTCCCAAAAGGCGACAACAAGGCTACTGACCCGACAGTTTGGTCCATCCAACCAGAGGAGACTGCAATATGCACAACAAACCATTGAGCAAGGATCTGGTCACACCCACCCACCTTGAGGAGGCGAAGGCTGAAAAAGCACCGCAGCGCCACTGCATGTTTTCAGAAGACAGAAATAGTACCGCGGCTCGCAATCGTTGCAAAAATGCCAGACCTGCGAGCACCAGGCTACGAGGCATTCTTCGGTACACGCCTTCCTGAAATTGAACTGTAGTAAAGTGCAGCAACACATAATCCGTCCCGGGGTCGACTATGCTAGAAAAATGGGTACTGTTATGATTCAAAATGCAAACTAACTAAGCTAAGTATGCAAGTGCGAATTCTAAGGAGACCTTGGGCTGGGGACTTGCTTGCATGTACTCTGAGTCATCTGATCCTGCGCAACCTTACCATCATCGCCTCTGGCTACCTCTTCGCCACCGGACACTTCTTCGCCGTCGCTGAACTGGTCGGCAAAACGCTGAAAGAACCTTCCCACACCTTTCTTGATCTGCCCAATAGAAGAACCGATGTCCAAAAGAAAAGTGTCCAACTTTTGTTCAAAGCTGGCAAGCTGATTTTCGTAGTTGGTCATGCTGCTTCTCGTTGAAAGTTGCTGCTGGATCATTGCTAGCTCAATCCGTTCCATACGAGAACAAAGTTGCTGTAGAAGTAGTCTTAAACTGTCAGTCAAACTCTCTTGGAAGCACTGTGAATTTACCTCATGTCACTTGTCTCTACTGCGGTAGACTGAAATCCGCAATTGAGGCAGTGCCGGCCTGCATCAGGCGGTAACATTGCTGGAGGTTGGTTGGCAAAAAAGGCGTTCGGCGTGTGGCCTTGCCCTAGGAAGGGACCACTGCTGCTGCCTGCTGTCGGCTGGCCTGCTGTAGCGTGTGGTGGCATTAAATCACCCAACGAGGAAAGTTCAGGTGCGAATGACAAGTGGTTGTGGTTGCTTGCCGCTGTTTCCATGGTTGCTTGTGGAGCAGTCGGGTACATGATGAAAAGGTGTTATGCAGTTGCTGAAAGCAAGCCGGGTGAGCTTGAGTCTTTATGATGTGGGATGCTCGTCGACCTCAGGACTGTTCACAGCTTTCGGAACTGGTGTCCAAAGCTGTTGCCAGTTCTCGGTCTGCGAAAGAGGTCCTGGTCCGGGAAACGGGCTATTTAAGTATTCGGCAGTGGCCTTGGCCTTGGACTGTTTGTTCAATTGGATTCTAACATAACACAAAAAGATTTGCGCCAAAATGCAGCGAACCATTATCCTGACAGCCTTTGCCGCTCTAGTTAGCTGCATGATGGCGCCACCTATATGCCTGTCTAACATCATTGAGCTGGATGCTGGCTTTTCATTTGTCTCTGCTTCGTAAGTACGGCGCTACTTACTGGCTTTTAACTGGCTGACAAGGTTAGCATTGATGGAACCCTCACTCAGCGATGTGAAGCATTGGTCACCCTCGATGATCCGGAGTACCTTCCCGTTACGTTCACATTTGATGCCAGCCACTGTGACGGCCCATTTACTGCTAGTTTCCAGATGTCGCCCGGTTTTCCTGCCGGGGATGGTTACGTTTTCTGGTAAGTTCGCGGATTGCCTGGTCTTGATCACCTTCTCATTCGTCCTCGTAGGCAGTGCTCCGGTCAGTCTCCGACCTGCAATCGCATCCGCGTGAAGGGTGGGCACAAGGATGCTAGCCCGGCGCTTCAACGGCAAGGATACGTCGAATGTGCTTCAAAGTTCACGGGTACACCAAACCTTGCTTCATCTATGAGCCAGACATTGACTGCCACGTCCGGTGTCCGGGCGGAAACTGGTGGAGGGAGTCTTTCCAGGGTCAGTGGGAAAGATGCCACTCCAACTTCGTCTACACTACCCCAGTCTACACTCCCTGCCGACAGTATCTCATATGTGGCAACATCGTCTACTACCGCCCGAATGTCCAGAGTCTGGCCTACTGGTGCAAGGCCTACAGGAGCGTGGCCTACTGGCACAGCTTCTAATATACAGCAGAGCACGAGCACCTCGGTGGCAATCAACGACGCTACTGCGATCAACGCCCGTCAGACTGCCATCACTTCTACGATCTTCACTACTATTCTGCTGACTCAAACCATTACCTCCATTGCTACGGTCTGCTGAAGTCAAAGGGAGACAAGAGAGTCTGGAATGTTGAGTATCGTATAGTTTTGTGAATTTGGGCTTATCCCCTATCTAGATAAATAAATGTTTCTATTAACCTCAGTACCGTTCACACCGGAATGATGGAAACCACTGTATCAATTATCGTTTCCCACACCCTGCAGGTTCATTGCTTTCGGCGTCTCAGGGCTAGAATAAACCATGGTCACCTGCTATTATTGTCAGGGTGCGTCAAGACGTTGTTGGGTTTTCTTACAGGTGTGTTTGAGGACAGGCTTTGTGACTTCAGTCTCTGCAGCTTTGCCAGCAGCGCGGCCATACGCTTCTCTAAAAGAGCTATTCTTTCTAGAGTCTCTGATATTGTGTTTTCGATGGCTTCGACGTTAGGCTGCGTCATGATGTAGTACAGTAGTGGTGAAGTAGAGACCGGTCGAGGGCTTTCTCTGTTTCTCTGGTGTTTGTTTGGTCCAAGTAAAGCCGCGGTTCCGTCTCAGGTGTGCGTGTTTGCCACCCCTCTCCATCGACAGCTGGGAGAACAGAGAAGTTTATTTATGGAATTTTATTTTAATAAATATGAAGTACTGCGGAGGGCGTAGTTGATAATATTTGATTGGATGTCCCCTTCTTAGGCGTGGAGACAGTGTTGAGCGCTGGTGGAAATAGTGCATTGGTAGTCACACCAACAAATGCTGACCACCATTTTAGAAAGTCTGATGGGAGATTTCTGATCTCGGCAGCTTGTAAACCGTGAACTTATTCAGTCCACATCTTAAATTTGCGTCTTGAATCAGAAAATGAACGATCGTCGGATTCCGCCCTCGCCCGCGCCGTCGGATGGCAACAATGAAAGTCATCTTCCTTCTGGCGGAATGATTGACAGCCGCTGGCAAAGACCGCTCATTATTTTTTCCCAAACTTCCTCGGTCAGGTCCAGCCAAATTGCACAGACAGCGACAGAGAGCTTCGTTGTGGAAGTGAAAGCGGCTTTGCAGAAGATGAATGAGACAATGCGAGCCTTTGAAGCTCGACTTCAAGCGGTTGAAGAAGGTCAGATTGGCGCCCCAACCCTCCGATGGGCTCTATATTAATTTCTGCAGAACTATGCACTTGCGGATTGCCATCTGATACTTAAGTAGCCGGTTTCTTGGCTTCGGGCGCTGCCTGCATCTACTGAGCACAAACTCTCAGTTGCGCGATTGGGATGTTCAATAGTTCTATCACGTCGTTATCGGACCGCAATGGATATACGGATAGAAACATTACATAGAATTCGAGGAGGTTATGCGTAAATGTAGTGGTGCGACTCTTTGTGAATGGCTAGGCTTGACCATGTACGAGAGCTTTGACCAATTTTGCAAACCGAAGTTGGACGTAGGCTTAGACAAATTTCAGGGAATTAAACAGTGGTCATTCGTTTGAACGGAGGTATTTGGGTCGCCGATTTTTGTACCACAAAGCTGGTTCAGGTTCTTGTCGAACCGCGGAAAACGCAGCACAGTGGCCACTGATAGCTGCGTTCGGTAACCTGTACGCCTCCCGAAACGTAGGTCTGAAAGCTGCCAACAGATTTGCACGTATAGATGGTTCAAAACTTATATGTCGCTGCTACTCTTGATTCTGCTGTGCTTGATAAGCTGGCGGTCGCGATGGATTCTCAATGGGGCAACAACATGCCTGATTTCGCGATGGATTTCGAATGGAGCGACAGCATGCCTGATTTCGCGATGGATTTCGAATGGAGCGACAGCATGTCTGATGTTACCATAGCTTCGCCCATCGAAATTACGACCGTTCCATGCCCGACAGCTAATCCCAGGGAGCAGCCCGCTGGCTACCAAAGCATCATCTTTGCGATTCAAAACCCGAGGCTGTTCTCTCCTCTCGGCCAATATGCAAGTCAAATGGTGCGCACTCTGGTTAGAGCCGATGCAGTACAATTCTTTGCAGAAAACCTAGAAGACATGGCAAAATTTTGGATTGCATTGATAGACAGCACCTGGTTGCCGCGAAATACTGTCACTAGTGCCTTTCGCTCGCTAGACCAAATTTTTTCTGCAGAGAACAGCACTCCATTAGCGCTGCGACTAGCCTGTGTGCAGCTGCCGAGGGTGTTGGACGCCGCCCGCGGTATAGCTGCCATCAATGAACAGCAAGACCTGCTTCATGTTAGCAAGTCAAGCAGCAGCACGGCCATTGGCCTATTCTACGAAGCCCACGGCAAAGGGTCTCGCTGTACCAGACAAGAGCTGAATATGCGCAGGCGTATTGCACAGCGATGGGCGGATATATCTGCCACGAATCCGCTCCTGCTGGTTACCTACACAGAAGAAGCAGAAAATATCATGTGAGGTTTAATTCCTATTTACTAATTTATTCTAATTCCTTATAGTACAAACTTCGCGGTTTCAAACCGCACATTACAGGCCATCGCTGCCGAAGCTGTTCGGGCGCTTCCAGCCAGGCTCGTACAGGCCGCAGCCTATTTCACCCAGACCACGCATATCTCTGCCGCATCAGGAGACACAAAGAATCAGACAGAGCTCAAACATTGCTTGGAAATAGTAAGGACAATACTGTATACCGATTGTTAAAAGCATGAAGGTGTTGGATCCTGTAGTCCCAGCCAAAGCCCTGAGGTTAGCTCTTTAAGAAATGGCTTTAAGATAGATAGCCCAACTTAGCGATGAATGCAACATGGCTTGAATATAAACAAAATCATTAAGAGCAGCCTATATTCCAAATCTTATCCTTAGTTACTTAAAACTTTAGATGACCGCAGCTCTGCTATATCTGAAGATATCTTCACGGCGCTGTTGAGGTACGCTGCACGAGAATTAGATTGGCATTCACCTTGTCATAGCACAACTAAGTAAACCCGTGTTTATATAGCCCTTTTCACTAGCGAGATCTCGTCTTGACACATTATTTTTTCAAACAATATTGATAAATAAATGAGTGACATTTTGATACTATCGAATAACCGAAGCATTTGTGCCATTATTGCTTCCATGCAAGCGTGCGAGACCCCCGCCTTCCACCAGGCAGGCAGCCGAGTCGAAGAACAGCACCAACTTTGAGTGCTATTCACAATTATCGTCCATCAATCCAACGTATATCCTGTGAACTGTTGTACCTAGAGAACATATTAACAATGTTCAGGTTTAGAATTCGTTCCCTTACGATCACCTTCGTCCACAGCCAGCCAAAGTTTGTCAAACAGGCAGTAATAGTCCCGCCTGCTGAGCTGACCTAGTCGGTGTGCCCGTTGCAGCATCATGGACACTTTTCTGGCATCTTTGTACAAGTACTGCCTGCCGTATTTTTTCCAGAAAGTGCTGGATATTTTACGACCGACTTTGCCGACTGCCACGAAGCTGAACAAGGCGGAGAGTGGTGTGAATGCCTGCATTTTGGACTTATTTGCACAAGTGAAAATGAAGGTAAATTATCAGTCGCACGATGGGAGCAACAAATATTCATTCCATCATTCTAAGAAGATGATAAGAAGACTCACAGGTTTCATTTTGGACCGCTGTTCTTCTATATTATTTTTGATTGTTTTCTTGAGTGATAAGGTGAGCGTCGCTCATCGGGCTTAGGTGAAATTAACGAGCTGAATGCACACTTAAGTTATACAAGAGCACAGAACACAGGTCAGTTTTCAGCAAACAGAGTCTCCAGCCGACACGGAAAACAGCCCTCTGATGTTAGAAATTGATTCATTTTTCTCTCCATAAATACTGATCTGCAGCCGCTTCTTATCAGAGCAGTAGCAGAGTCTTTTGTTCCATCTACATTGAACAACCGCAGCCCTGCAGCGCCACCGACTACTATCTGGAACACGCCGATTCTGCATCATGGAGCCTCTCAAAACTCTCATCAAACTTTGGAAGACGGACAAGCATATTCCCAATGACGAAAAAATTGAAAGTCTCTTGCCCAAGAAGAATGAACAAGTGAAAAGCCTGCATGGCCTTGCGATGCAGCCAGACCTCGTCTCGGCCATCAATCTAACTCTCTCAACTCTGCACACTGCGTGGAAGTTGCTCGAGACCGGCATTTGCGTTTCTGATGGCCCCGATAACCCGGAGGTTGACCGGGAAGCTTTGACTACAGAGGAACTTTTGGTCATTGCCAAAGTTGTGCCATTGTTCATTCCTGAAGAGATGGCACTGAGTTTGCAAGCAAGTCACCCTCTTCGAAAGCGAAAGCATGAAAGCTCCGATGACGAAAGCGAGAATGAGGAGCTCACTCTGGAAGAGATTCTCAGCATGGGCAGTGCTGATGACGATGCCATAAAAATTGGCTTTTTCGGTTCTTCCTCTTCGGCACGCCAGAGTAAACGCAGCCGCGTCAAATCAGCTAAATCGGAAGAATCGGAGGGGAGCGCGGACGAACACGACAGCAAGTCTGACTCAAAGCGCAGTGCTCGGAAAAAGAGCGAGAGTCCTAACAGCGTGGTGTTAGTGGGCGTCAAAGCCAAAATTAAGGAGGAAGACGGTGGCAAGAAGGCAAGCAAAGAAAGAAAGGAAAGGAAAATGCTCAAGCCGAAGTCGAAATCACACGGTCGCAAGAGCGAGGACAATGCTGCAGAGGACATCAAAGAGGAGGAAGAGGACTAGACTCCATGCGTGACCGCAGAGTGGATGAGAAATTTCGCGTCATACAGTTTCCAATTTCTTAGTCTCTGTTTTCCTAGATCTTGTTCCGCTGCAAAAAAAAATTGCTTCAAAATGGCGAATTACACTGTGAGAAACGTGATTTGATCTACCATGCTTTAATGGTCCAAACGTCCACTTTCAGATACAAGGAGCTAGACCTACGCAAGACAGCTGTCGACAAATTTAGCAGTCCTAAACGCTGTGGATGGGTGGCGGGGCAGGGTGCCACGAATGCGACCCATGACGAGCGCCAGAACACGTTACAGCCAGGCACTGGTCTGTTTCCTGCTCTCTGACTGCAGGTCCTGCAATAATCTGATCTACCACGAATCAAGCTGAATGGTAAAGCATCGCTAGCTACACATAGAAGTAGGCAACGCACTATAAATCGGAAGACATCCGGCCGCTTTGTCACATCATAACTATGCAGCAATACAAGCGCAACTGAGTGAACAATAAAGCAATTTTTCTACTTTCACTCCAACAACGCTCTCATGAACGTCGACATGACCTCAGAACTCGCAGACGTCAAGATTGAGGTTGACAACCATCCTGACACGTTGCTTAGCAACACTCCAACAACCAACAGCACCACTACCCCAGATCCTTGGGACATCGATGCCGAGTTAGACGACCACTGCAGTGGCATGTCTGGTGATACTCTGACGTGTAGCAGCGTCATGACACCAGACCCTTGGGACATCATCGACGCAGAAGCGGTAAACACTCTGTTCCACGCAGTTCTATCGGGAGATGCAGACGAAGTGCGCGCGCTCTCTTCTGACGGGGTGTACATCTCGCCATTAGACTCTTGGATTTTTTTTGAGGCTTGTCTACAAGGGCCCAACATGATCCACGCTTTTTGCAACAACCCCTGGGTCGACTTGGGACAGCCGCTGGCAGGACCTACAGGCGGTGCCCTCATCAACTACCTTCTTAAGACAGCGGCTTCGCGGTTCCCGCTGGGGAAGAGGGACACCATCATCGCCGTTCTGCAGCAAGCTGTTAATCCGATAGTTTACGATCACTGCGGAAACCATGCCCTACATATACTTGCGGAATCCGCGGAAACGGACGCCGCCGCTCTCATGAAGCTTTTTCTCTGTGGGACAGACAGCGGCTGTGATTTCACCGCTGCCGCCTGTGTGCCGCACATCAATTCGCGAAATTGGCCAAAGCTTGGCAGTGAATTTGGAAACACGCCTTTGACACTTGCGGTGCTCAGGAACAACATTGAATGTGTGCATATTCTTCTACAAAACGGAGCCGATCCAACAAGCCGCGGAGAGTTCGATCAGACAGCAATGCAGCTTGCAGTTGTACGAGGACACTGGGAAATTGTCTGTATGCTACTTGATTGCGGTTGTTTTTAAATAGAGTAGGAGGTTTTACAATTCAGGCCATTGACCTTTGAGCTTCTTATAAAACCCTTAGCATTGTTCTGCGTCTGGCCAAGGCCGTGACTATCTGGCCTTCGAGTATATCGTGCCAACTGTGAGAGGCTGTCGGGGTTACTGAAGCGGTCAGCGCCTAGATGTACCGATAAGCTAAATGCTGTGAGCGGTAAAGCGTAGCTCTGGTGAATAGAACATATACCTGATCGACGACGGCTTAGAGCCTGAGTTCTACAAAGGAGCACACTCCAGTGCATGTGGCATCCGCTACCCGGACGGCGTGGTGCAGCAAAGCCAGGTCTTGTTCTATTGCCTTCCGGTCTAGCGTGGCTGTAAATTCGGCCATTTTGGTTCGATTGACTTGTGCTGGAGCAAATTGTGAATTTGAAGAATGATTACGGTGGGGTTGGCAAGTTTCATGTTTTGATGGTTGATAGGGAGGGTATATGAATTTATTTGGTTTGGCAGCTAACGACGTATGACGTTCTGAGATAGAAGTGGTAGTCATTGCTGGTCAAGCACCAGCTTCATTCCAAGCGCCAAGAAGAATGCCACGTCTGAGGAACTTCCTTGTCCCTTGTCCTTGCAACCCCAGAGGGCAGCCACTACCAGGCAAGCAGTTCTGGCTGCTCACCGATCTCGCCACTCGCACTTTCTTCCTCGTGGGACTCTGCAACCCCCCGTGGACCATATACCACGGGTAAAGGGTAGGTGTTATCCTGCGTGCACGTTAGCTCCTGCCGCTACCAATGCTGGTGCCTGGAGATCCCGCACTATTGCTGAGGCGGTTAAAGGCCATGACGGGGTTCGTTCGGACTCATATATGTAGACCCGGCCGTGCAGTCTGACAAGAAGATACACTTGAGCACCGCACAAATCTCTGATCTCGTCGCATTTGCGCAACAGCGTGCGTCGCCGCTTGTATGCTTTATTGCGCAGCAGTGTTGCTTTCGATGCTGCCGCTCTCGATTTTGCTGAGCTGGGAAAGCGTTAACGCGGGCTGGTGAACAGGAGAGTAGCATCCTACACCATCGTTTTTTGCTCTATTTGTTTCACGCCCGACACACTTTCTTTTTGAGTTCGACTGAGCTGCACGCTCATTCCGACATTCTAATATATTTGTGTCAATTCTTTGTGAGCGGCGGATGGGGACAGTCTATGAATACGACTTAGGTGCAGCTGGCGGCTATGGCATGACGCCGTAGACCGAAGCAGCGTGCAGACAACAGGATGCAAGCCTGAGACGATTGTACTAGTGAACAACCGAAAACCTACAGAAAGCTTTTGTAGCCGCCGGGAAAATACCATGCTTTTGTATGTCTCGATCTTGTCGCATGAGAGCCACCGGGTGGGTTGGCCAGTAAACATGCTGTAAGAAGTCAGTATTGCCATCCTCTTTTCAGCATCTATCCGTGTAGACTGGTAAAGAGACGTCGAGACGCTGCCTCTTTTCTGCTACGGGCACTATAGACTAGTAAATTTAGGTGTGATGATCTCTTTTCACTGTGGAGACGCTATAGTACCGGGAAAAACCAGTCTCTTTTCAGCACTCTGTCTGCTGTAGACCGGTAAAAAGACGTACAGTCGTGATATTACTAGTAAAAATCAGTCTCTTTTCGGTATCCTGTCTGCTGTATACTGGTAAACAGACATGGAGACGCGATATTACTAGTAAAGGGCAGTCTCTTTTTAGCACTTCTGTCTGATGTAGACTGGTAAACAGACATGGAGAAGCGAGATTACTAGTAAACTTCAGTCTCTTTTTAGCACCCTGTCTGCTATAGACTGGTAAACAGACATAGAGGCGTGATATTACGGGTAAAAATAAGTTTTTTTTTTAGCACTCTGTTTGATGTAGACCAGTAAACAGACATAGAGACGCGATATTACCAGTAAAGGGCAGTCTCTTTTTAGCACTTCTTCTGCTATAGACTAGTAAACAGACATGGAGACGCGATATTGCTGGTAAAAATCAGTCTCTCTTCAGCATCCTGTCTGCTGTACCCTGGTAAACAGACATGGGGAAGCGATATTACTGGTAAAAATCAGTCACTTTTTAGCACTCTGTCTACTGTAGACTGGTAAACAGACATGGAGACGCGATGTTACGGGTATAAAGCAGCCTTCTTGTCTGGTAAACAGACGTGGAGATGCTATACTACTAGTAGAGACTGGTCTCCTTTTCTGCCCCTCTCCGCTAAGGACTGGTAAGACAGGTGGGGTGCTGTCTTTTTTTAGCACTTCTATCTACTAGACTGGTAAACAGACGTTCAGATGCTATAGTACTAGTATAGGATGGTTTTTTCAGCACTCTGAGAGCCTGGAGATACTAGTAGAAAGCTGTTTCTTGCGCCTATCCGCTGTAGACTGGTAAACAGAGCCTAGAGCTGCTATACCACCAGTAGAGATCAGTGCTCTGTCCGCTGCAGACTAATAAACGCACTGGAAGGTAGTTTTGAAGCAGCTGTGTTTAACACACTACCACAACCTAAAGTGGCCGGCTGCAGCAGGTACTAATGCATCTTGCATGAGCAGCAGAAGAAAGTGGAACAATGCACAAGACTGAAAGAAGTGATAGACGACAGTACACTGGATTGATCACTAAACACTGAAGATCACTCGACCTTTACTAAACCACAGGATTTCGGCTTACACTAACTTGAACGCTTTTTAGTCTTCTTGGTTCTTGGCGATTTCACCTTCTCCACCAACGTAACCTGAGAATCCCACGATCCACGGCTGTAGCTCGCCGGTACGCGTTGCAGCTCCAGGTCCTCCACCACAGAGGCATGTGAATTGTTTTGGCGGTAATTCGAAAAAGCGTCTGCATACGGGGGCCGAAACTCCACTTCTGCAAACCTAATGAAACGTTCCGGGGTTGTGTTCTCTAACGCCATGGCGCGCATGCGGCTCATAAAAGATGCATCGCCACATGCTGAAGCTTCGTCAGCAGAGAAGGCAAGGGTCACAGACGGCTCATACCTAAAAGCACACTTTCGCCAGGGTGACGAGCTTCTTGACGCAGCTCCCTTGCAAAAGACACCATGTCAAAATCATGCCGGGCTTTCCAATACTCGTTGACTCGGTACGGCGTCTTCTTTCCTCGTGGAGACGGATACACACACCACACCACTAACAAATTCTAGGACTCCATCTCAGTTGTGAGGCCGCCAATCGATTCAGCACAGCACCTACCTTCGTGTCTATTTTTTGCAGTTCCTTTAGCTGCTCTGCAACCCATTCCTCTTGTTCGTTGCTCTCCAACCACCAAATCAGATCGACGTTGCGGCTGAGGTCGCCGAAAACAGGTTCCCTGGAGTCTCGCAGACGCGCCGTAGTACCACGAGCTCCGTCGTCATGCTTTCTCCTTTCGGCAAGATGGCGAGCAAAGGGCAAGACACCGACAATGCCCATGCCCTTCGCGGCCAGAACCACCGTCTCGTAAGACTGCAGCTGCAGATCCTTGCCGTAGGGGCCGTCAAGTCTGAGGAACTGCCCCTTGCGCACAGTAGCCAACGACCTTTTATGGTTTCCCGTGTGCGATATCAGAAAACTAAGCTCCGAAGCGGCACCGGATGCTACGTGCTCTGAGTCAACCCAGAACGGCATCATTGCGTAGCCACGGAGAAGGTCGTAGAAAGGAAGCGGCCCTTGAAAGAAGACGTAAAAATAGCAGCCTGGGAAAAACACGGCGGGACGAGCGGCTTTGAGCGTCACGCGCGTGGTGTGGTCGTCTTCCTGCCGCTGGATCACCTCGGCGTACGTGCGGCCAAGCAGAAACATGCGCACCAGGCGAAAACTATGCGCCACTGACCACATGCCGCAGCAGAAAAAGGCCAATATGCGCGCAGTTCTGGACGGCTGAAGCATTGTGTGCCAGACCAGTCCGCCAAGCACAGTTACGTAGCCGAGAAGATGAACTTTGCCGAAGAGCCGACCCAATCTCGGACCGGGCCATAGCGCGACGATAAAAGTGAACAACAAAGCACCAGTAGTCTGTGGCATGAAGTTAGTCATGAATTATCTTGTCAGAAAAGAAGCACTTGCAACATATCCTGACAGAGCCACGGACCGGAGTTGACGATGGTGGGACAGTTCCAGGCCGGCATGCAAAAGGCCCTCGCATGTCGCTGCCACAGCTATCCACCTGTGAGCGAAGCGGTGGATGAAAAGTGTGATCTGGACAAAGTCGACCCAGAGATTGGTTCTTCCACCGAGGAAAAGCAGCATCATGTTGGCTGAAGCGAGCAGGGACGCTCTCTTGCTCAAGGTGCCATCCTTCGTCTTTTCGCCCTTGATCTGGAAACTGAGCACCACAGCATTGACCCCAAGATAAACCAACAGCAGAAGCGTTTGCAGATACGATGTCCTTGGCCAGAATGTAAGCGTCGAATGGACCATGCTGGCATATTGTCGACGTAGATACGGTGCCACATAGGCAGCGGACGATCGGGCAGCAAAAAGCAGTATCGGTATGCCCACCGCGCCGCTGAGAGTGATAAGGTAGACTTGAACGAGGTCAAGTGCCATGATCTGTTTTGCTTTGAGACTGGAAGAGTTTATGTGAAGAAATGATTTCTTGTCACCTTGTTATGATTGTGCGGATGTAAATCGTAAACAGATGTTATTGAGCAGCCAGCGTTCTATTACCGACTTGCATGTCGTCAAGTCAACTGAAAAACACTGAACTATGCCACGCCAAGAGCTTCCCAGTACTTGTAAGCCCCGAACGTGATGTCTGATTTGGTTGAGGCGTCCATGCTGCAGGCTGCATTCAGTTTTCAGCATGACAGATTTGAACCACATGATTTTGGGCATACGCACGGCGGGAAAACACCGCCAGTGCGCTGTGTAAAAAGCTGCCGTGCCCACTACAGCTCTGTCCACCAAGCCATGTCCTTTTTCCACGCTGCCGCAACCATGAATTATTTCGATAGCCCATGGACCGCCGACTTTCCCATTGGAATGATTGGGATTGATCTTTGTCGTCTTGGAGAGTAAGTGATTGAGACTTTTGCACGACTTTTCTAACGACTGTGCAGCGTGTTGTCGACAAAACCAGTGCGGTTCACCGTTGGTGCGGAACGAGCAGAGTTCCACTTACACGAGGGGCTTGTGTCATGCCTCTCCGCGCCGCTTCACGCACTCGCCAACCGGGCGCCTACCGCACATCTGCACGACGTCGATGCTTCAGTCTTCTCTTGCTTCGCCCAATTCGCGTACTCTGGTCATTACGATCCAGAAACGACCACAGAAAACCACTTCGGGTGCGTTGATGGCCGCACACGTACGCAGCGCAACATGTTGCTGCAGCATGCGCAACTGTGGGTTTTCGCGCAGACATATCAGGCCGAGTCGCTGAAGCGTGCGGCTCAAATGCAGCTGACAAACAAGTTGATCATTAGCATGATGTCGCCTGTCACTTTTTTCGCCGAGTTTGGAGAGCTTGTACGTTATGTGTATGGCGGCAGCAGCCGATTCGGGCTGCGTCAAACTGTCAGCCACTTCGCAGCGACAGTTGCAGCTGGCCTGTACCATCTAGCAGGCTGGCAGGACTTGCTCTTGGGTTGCCCTGGCTTTTCATGGGATGTACTGAGCGCCATGTCACTCTTAGAGGGCTCTTAGCAGCATTTTACCGTTCAATAATAAACAATGCTTCACATTACCATCTCTTATCATATTGTAATACTCTCCACCGTTGGCAGTGTAGGTGCTCGGCCACGGCGTGAGATCGACGTAGCACGGTTCAACAGCCAGCGCTTGCGAACTCTACCAGTGAACCAATGAAGGGACTTCCCCCACCTCCCCCGGTGTGTTCAAATCAGAAAACTGACCCCTGAGTTCTTAACGTTGCTAAAAAAAGAAAAGTTGGCAGCTTGCACCTGTTCGGTTCAGCAGTTCTGAAAGCTTAAATGGTCCGGTGTTCCCGCGTTGAATGTCGGACGGGACCCATCTTCATCGTCGTTCTCTCCTCTTCTGACCACTGATTTCTGCCCGCTTCTATAATTACGGTCACCTCTTTCCATGATGTCGTCCTTTCGCAGAACGCCAACAAAGCTCCCCAAAGACCCTAAGCGTAGTTTCAGGATACGCTCACGCAACATGCTGAAGAAGTCCATGGAACTCACGGACATCAACGCACGCATTGCCATCTACATGGAAAGAGGAAACGATAAAGTGGTGTTTCGCACCCACCCCGATCTCATTCCGGAGTGGAGCGCAGCGGACGCGAATCAAATGACCCCTGCGGACGTCCCCATCGAGCTGGACTACGACGAGTTCCGCTACTCGTCCAGCCCGCGGTCGTCCCCGGTGCCCGACGGCACCCCGACAATCAGCTCTGCAGTTCTTGATCCAACTGTCGCGCCCCAGGGCATCCCAGAATTTGTGCCACCGGCGCTTGAAACCTTCTTCATTGACGGTTTGCAACAGTTGCAACTCGCGACCATCGGTGAGATGGATCCTTACCCTTTCAGCGTCGCGATGAGTCCCAGCGTGGCCCTGGAACCGATTGCACAGCTGGGCGAGAAGCGAAAACGTCCAGTGTCCGCACCAGCCACCAAATCAGCAGCCCCCAAGCAACGGCGGAGAGCCAAGACAACATCCTGGTTTGACTAGCGTGGACGTAGTCTATCGGCTCACACGGCACTACCTTGTATATTAGTTTACTGTTAGATGGCAAGGATCTCGGGATCATTGTAGCCAGGGCATCACAAGAATGGAATTGATTATTGCTCGCTTTTCTGGTTCATTCTACTCAACCCTGTCTGTGCTTGCTTCTAGCCTAGGAGGGCTGCGAGGGTTGTCCCCGCAGCGCCGCAATATTCACTGACGTGAAGTTCCGGGTCCCCTGTAGGTACGTGCCCGCCTTGAAGCAAGCCCCTAGCATGCCCAGGAGAGCAGAGTACACTCTCACTGCAGTGCCCTAGACAAAGTAGATGGTGCCCGCCAGTACAAGGTGCGCGGCGGTTTGCCAAGTCATAGTATTCAGACACTATCTAACGTACTCGCGCGACTCTATCTTTTGCCCGCATTCCCTGCACCGTCTTGTCCTCGCTCGCGGGCGTTCCTCCAGGCCTAATTTTGCCATCACGCGAGTGAACGTGGCTCCAGGATCTGACTGTAGCCCGAGATATGGTAGCCAGAACCTGGCGCGCTTCTCTGACTGACCAGCCTTCGGTGGGCGTTTCGGCACAGCAGGCCGCCTTCCAATTTCGGCGTTGTGCTGGTCGATGAGGCTTTGAACTTGGCTGCTGTGTGCAGATTGCCGTCTGCTGAAAGGATTGTCACGGCGCTCGGTTTGACGCCGGGTGTTGTCGCCGTACGCAGATGGATCCTTTCGCCACAGCTCTTGCTCTCCTCTTCGAGGCGAGAACCTCGCGTGGTGGCTTCGTCCACGCCGGCGCTCGCGCTCCACTTCGAAATCGGATAACGGGTACGGCGTTGGCTGCCGGTCCGCCACCTCGTAGTGCCGGCTGAGCTTCAGCGGCGGAGGGCGTCGTCGAGACATCAAGATTGGCGTATTTGCAGTTTGAAGATGGAATAGTGAGCGTGCGCGAGATTAATATGCCTTTGCCAAAACTGAGGGATAACAGCATTATGCGGACCGTGTTCAGCTTTGCGTTCTGTGACTTGCCGCTTTCATGCCACACTAGTTGCAATGGCTGCTTCACGCCACGGATGCGAATTCACAACCGCGTCGCAAGCTTTCTGTTTCCTGCCATCTGTTGGCGTGTGGCTACTAGCGGCTCGGAAAGCCTATAAAGAGACGCGATGTGGGAAGCACTTGCCATGAGCTTGCGTACTCGCAACAATTCGCTCTACTGCCTCGTCGGTTCTTTAAGCATCGCTTCATACCATCACAATGGCCAAGAAGTCCAAAAAATCCAAATCCCAAAAAGCCGACGATGATCTGACTTGGGATGACGCCACAGTTGACAAGCATCTCAAACCAACACTGGCCAAAAAGAATATTTGGTGGCCTGACGATGCTCGCAAAAAAGACCTTGTTGCACTTTTGAAGTCGCATTCTGTGTCCATCAAGGAAGTGATGGAGGGAAAAAAGCCGCGAAAATACAGAAGGCCTCCGAAGCCGGAATCAGAGGATGAAAGTAGCGAAGAGGAAGACGAGGAAGAAGACGAAGACGAAGAGGACGAAGCAAGCGACGACAGTGGTCAAGTCAGTGACGACAAGAAGAAGAGAAAAACAGATAAACAGAGGCAGCATAAAGAAAGACAAAGAGCTACAGCCGGCAGAGATAAGCCAGCAGGTGTGGACGACAAAATGCTGGACTCAAGAGTGGAATTAGAGCAATACGAAAACGATATCTGGGAAGATCCCGAGATGACGGAACTGCTACCTCACCTTGCGGATGCTGGAGTCGACTTCACGACGGCCGTCAAGGAATACAGCCAAGTTGTCAAGGCACTCAGCCCCCACAGTGTTACGGATTTCTGGTTCTATGCAGATTTGGTTCGGGAAAAATATAAGGGGGATCGTAGCGCGCTCGAAGCTGCTCTCAGCAGATTCCCTTACGGCCACCAAATCTGGAAACGGGTGAGAGATCAGCAGAAGCGTGATCCCGTGGCGTGGGATCGATTGAGAAGACTGAAGTGCCTGGAGAATCGAAAGGCTATCCTTTCCGGAAAAGGCAAGCCGAATAAAAAGGCCACGAAAACCAGCAAGAAGGCCGCCTTACAGTCTGTGGAATCTAGTGACAGCGACGAGAAGAGCGATGAACAAAACAGTGATGAGGACGGTGCTGGCAGTGGCGAGGACAGCGACGATCCGTTCGACGATACACAGAGCAGCAGCGACTCCGACACGGACAGTGAACGTGGAAAGTACGACAGCAAGAAAGCGCGCGTCGCTCGTGGTTTCGACGACAAAAACGCGGCAAACAAAATAAAAGTAGAGGATCCCGAGAGACCAGGGCACTTCGTCAAGGCAGACATCATCGGCCGCCATCCTTCCCGAAAAGGCTGGCTGATCCTCGCGCTGCCAAGCAACAACAAAAAGTATCCGCAATTATCGCGCGGGCTCTGTGTTGATGGCACAAGTGCCAAATACAACGAGGCGTTTGAGCGCTACGTGTCAGACGGCTCGAACAAAACCCCCTCTACGGCGACGGAAGCTAACCTACACGATTGTGCGCCGTCCGAATTCGAGCTCAACCTCATTTCTACGATTCCGTGGGGCAGGAATGTGCACACGCACGGTTATGGGATTTTTCATAAGAAGAAGGGTGAGTTCCTGATGTTTTCCAAGCAGGTCCTTGGCAAGAAATGGGGCTCGCGGGACGCCGATGATGTGCTGCGCGATCATATGATCAAGGCCGGACAATCGATGCCTGGAAGGGAGGGCAAAGAGATCAGAGCTAAATCTTGGAGGAAATGACCGTGTCGTGTGCTATTGTCGTCTTTTTTCCTTGCCTTTTCTATCTTTGCCTTTAGTGTAGCTGAATACAAAGTTTCTATCATTAGGCGACTTGTTCGGAAGCTGAAATTTCGCAAGGCCGTGGCGACGCGAAAGCACTCGGGCATGCGTCCAGCGGCACGCTACTCTGTGTGCCCAAAGCACCGTCGGGTTCATTCATCAACAGCCACATCAACGTCACGCACAATCTCACCAGGAGCCTCTCTTCCCACACCGACGTGTGACGTAGTTCCCCTGGACAGAGTGAGGCGATCTTTGGGCGCTGCTCGGCGAGGATAATAGCAGCGTGGTCGTTGGCTGACAAAAAGTATATGAGACAGCCTAGGCAGCATAACTCGAGTTCCAATTCAATAGTGTAATCATCTGCCATGATAGCCTGCTGATAATTTGTGTGAATATCTCATGCGTCAGCTCAAACGCGTCGCGACGGAGAGCGTAATGCAGCATACCGAGCTCTTCACGGTCGCCATCCTGCCTCCGCATGCGGTCAGCCATCGTTGTCAAGGCAAGAGTTGCCCCTGGCGGCGTCGACATGGATACGCACAATTGTGCGTTTCGGACTGCCACAGCTGACCTGTCACCATGCGAGACAAAAGGCATAGTGACTTGAAGGCGAGCACTCTCAGCCGTACAGTGCTGGCGATTATAGCAATGATTGGCCTGACACTGCACATCAATGTGCGCCGCGCATTGTGGCAGAGTCTTGTTGGACCGCAGAGGAGCTGAACTGCACGCTACAAGGAGCCAGAAAACCAACCACCTTTACAACGTTGGCTCATCCAGGGTCTTGTACGCATCCCAATCCAGTTGGATGCCCTTTGTTACACCTGGGATGACCTGAAACCTGACGCTAGACTGAACACCATGACTGGCATGTACAAAGAAATCGAGCTGAAATTGTGGAAGAAGGGTTGACGACGTAGAGCAATGGAAGACCCAGTGACTATGCTCTGGTGTGCGGAGGAGAGTCGCCTAATCTTGAGTACTTGACTTGGGCTAGCCTTGTGGGTGCTGCTGGTGAGGTGGACTGGCGGATATGCCCCGGGCGCCGCGTTCGCGCCCTGACTTGTAAGCATGATAACCGCCAATAAAATCCGCCTCACCATGCCTAATGCTGATGAAAGTCTCGCCTCGGCTTCCCCAGTTCATGTCTACGACCTCGGTGAAATAGTCACGTACTGGTCTCGGCTCGGTTGTGTACAGAACAACAGTCCGCCGCTCTATAAATATGTTCATACACAGAGCCTGGCGTATTTTAGGTGATGTGTCTCGCCAGCGGAGGAGCAGATCCGGCGTGCGGCAAAATATAGCTCGAAAGGAAGTAAAGTCATTTTGACAAAGTTCATAGTGTGCAGAAGTTTTTCGTTCTATGGTTATAGATCTATGTTGCAAAGACTGTAGATGCAAGCGTAGGAACAAAGGTCAGGCTGGCCAGTGACATAGTCCCCACCTCAGCAGGGCTAGCATAACCAGCTAGTGCTGTTGGTGACTTATCGACACCGCGGCTCTGCATACAGTAGCTAGCCGTCTGCAGGCAATAAGTGCAGTTAAATACTGCGCCCTAACCCGCTCCTGGAAAAAGTCACATCATCCAACATGCAATTTTTTTTTTTCGAAATGGCAACCTCCTCTCCACAGTCTTGCAAATTCATGATCAACTCCAATTTCGCTCATGATGAAGGTTTTTGGAAATATGGCCGATATTATGGGGCCTGGAACGACGCATACAAGTTACCCATCGACGCTGTACGCACACAAAGGTTTTCTTCTCAATTGATTCCGTATAGCCTTAACAAGTTTGTGCAGGAAGAACTAAAACGACTCGACATTTTGAATAAATTCTTCCTTTTGGCGCGCGGTGGGCAGGCTTTCTCATACCCCGTGAGGCGCGGTAGCCCAACACGTGTGCTGGATCTTGGAACTGGGACAGGCATTTGGGCCATTCAAGTGGCCGAAGAGTAAGAGCCAACCCGCATGCATGTGCTTTTATCGCTAATTGAAGTTATAGTTTCCTCCCAGAGTCCCATGTTATGGCAGTTGACCTCCATAGAATTCAACCAGCTTTGTTGGTCAACATCCCACATAGCCGCATGCTGCGTCTGCTAACTAGATCTAGTATCCCGCCTAATCTGACCACGATGCAATTCAATATTGAAGATGCCAATTGGACGCCGCTTTTCAGGAATTGTGATCTAGTACATATGAGGCTCCTCTTAGGCAGCATCCACAACGATGCGTGGCAGGCCACATATCAAAAGGCTTTTGAGTAAGTCCTAGCCCAGCTGATCAAATACGCTGCCAATGACTGCCTTGACTCAGACTACCAACAGGCACACAATCCCGGGGGGTAACATCGAGCAGGTTGAAATCGATTGGGAGCCTCGATGGGAAAGTGCCGATATTCCAGAGAGCTCTGCTTTAGCCGAGTGGTCGCAGAAGTTCTTGGAGGGAATGGATGGATTTCAGCGTAGCGCTAGGGTTTCCAGCCGGAGGGTGCAGCGCATGGTCGAAGCTGTCGGTTATGTGGGCTTTCAGGAGACGGTAATTCGCTGTTGCGTGAGCCCCTGGTGCAATGACACGCGCGAGAAACTGGTTGCCAAATGGTTCAATGTTTGCCTCATCAACGGTATAGAGGCGATGAGCCTGGTGCCGTTGGTGGAAAAGTGCCGAATGACCATCTGCGAAGTTAAAAAACTGCAGGAACGAGTGAAGCAAGAAAGCTGCAATTTGCGGTTTCATGCATATTTCAACTTGTAAGTCCAGCCTTTGTCGCTATAGAGCCGATGCTAAAAAAAATTAGACATGTCTGGACGGCCAGAAAGCCACAGCAGCATTGCTGAAGCAAAAGGCGAGGAGGAGCGACGCTGTGATGTTGGCAGGAGATCAGTTATGCATACTGGCCTGGTACTGTAGCTCTTACCGTACTTTGGTAAACTAGCTGGGATAACCAAAAATAGCTGTTGTCGAAAGCGCAGTTTTGGGTCCCGTTCACCACAAGCTAAGATGGCATGGAAGCAGAAAACTGACGTCTGAAGCATGAACAATGCAAGGCGCTAGGACTCAGGCGCGTAGGAGGCTGGTCTCTTTGCTTAGCTTTGAAGGCATAAATAGTCGTATCTCGTCGCTAATGCCCCAGCTGGCACTCGCCTGCCTTCAGAGACTTTCTGCATCGCGTCACAGGACGTGAGACCTTCTGCCAAGCGTTTGTCCTATTTCGCCAAAGTCAAAAGATCCGAAGCAATTGCTAAAAATATGCTCGCAAATATGACGCAAAAATTGTCCGGCAATAAGAGTTCTGCCACTCAAATTCCAATCTACACGGGAACGGAAGACGGGAGGAGTATATTCATAACCATTGATGACCTCTGTCCCGAATGGAACGAGTATGGCGTGGATCAAATCGTGGCTGCAAACCTTCCTACAGAGCCCGACTTTGGAGAATTCCGCCGGTATGCTTCAAGTGTGCGAGCTACTCTTTCTCAGCAACCTTCGGCAGCTAGCGCCTCCAGCTCTTCAAATGTGGCATCTGTCTCGCCTACGAGTACGACGAGGGCAAGCCTCCCGGCTCTCGACATATTGTCAACGCCTGACTTGGACATCCTCCAGCTACCGACAGATAAAACGCCCTCCATCGACCACATCCAAGCGGCAAAGAATGCTGCATTGGTAACACCAGCCAACTTGACACGGAAGAGGCACAGGCGCCGAGGACCCGGCAGGGGAACAACTTGTAACGCGCCACGACTGCGAAGACAGAAAAGGGCTAGGACTTCGTCATGGTTTGATTGAATAGTGTTTAGATGCCTAATAGCTGAATGAATCAAATTTTCCATTATAAAGCTATTCGCGTGGCTAGCCGTTCAAATAATTTTATATTGGTTTTATCCTCCACTAATGTGAAAATTTGCTCTCTTGCTCCTGGGGTTGCAGATCTGTTTGTGGAGGGCCGCAAGTCCCCCCACCAACAAAATAGCGACGCTTTTGGCCAGGTGTACCAGCTGCCAGCTCAGCCTTATCAATTCAGCAGCGTAGGCCAGTCAAAGGTTAAGACCCCTTGTGCAGTACAATGGCGAAATATCAAATACTGCTGAGAAATTTTTTCTGAGTTGAAGTGAGCTTTTGACTTGCCAGGCAATTCGGCACCCAATCGATGCGACTTACAACCAGGTTTGCTTTCGTGACTTGGAGCTATGCCATGGCCGCTAAAAATTGACACTGTTGGCTAAACACGGCTTTAAACACGCACGTTATATGGCAAGGGGAATCACGGCAGCTCACCGGGTCGAATTATTTTTCAATTGGATAAATGCTTTGTTGCCAGCTAGAATAGTATATAGATATCCCAGAAAGCTTTGGTGTGCTGCGGGGTTATATCTAGATTGAACCCTTCTTTGCCCCGTATAAGCTATGACACGCGATTCAAATTTCCAATTTCTGCAACAGCTGAACGAGTTCGCTCACTGGGTCGAGGCTCACTGGGCTCAGCTGTCGGTTGCAACGCGGCCGCCATTTCCGTCGACCACCTCGAGGCTTTTTGTTGTGTTTGGCCGGCGGTTTGTTCATGTTTTGTTTGCCAAGGCGGCGTTTCCTCCATTCTGAGCCACTGCAGTTCCCCTTCCACGCCTTGTCGGTCGGCTGTCGGGAGCCGGACCTTAGTTCTGATCTGTTAGACCGGTTCTTGGGGCCGAAGCGGCTCATGATCGCATTCGGGTTACGCTGGCGAGCTGCCTCCCGCTGAGAAGGCCAGGTATCATTTGGGTGAGGTAAGCGTGTCTCGTTCTGCTTCAAGTCTCGAACACGCCGTTGCTTCAGGGCTGAATATTGACTGGGCTGCTTTTCGTTGGCGGTCCGCCCCATAGTTGCATCGAGAGCCGGCATATCGGTATTAGCTTTGGCATTGATGGCTGATTGTATCGGATGTCTAGAGACGGAAATATGTCCCGTCATATATATCATTTATC